AGAAGAGACGGTGAGAAACTCGGGACGCGGTTTTGATGTAAGACACGCCTTTTATCTCACCCTCCAAATCTGGATATCAAGAATTCAGGCTTGCCTGAATCTCACAGATGTTGATAGTCACAACCTACTCAACATTGTTAGCCATCATAGCTGTAAAAGCAACAGTAACACTGCATAACGTTACCTGCAGAACGCCGTGTCCTCTCGCCTTGCTCGAGCGGAATAGACAATTCGTCTTTGTAGTGACGCAACCCAGCCAATCAACGAACCCGATGATTAGATGCGTTCGTGCAGATTGCGGAAAGAATCAGAGGGTTCTTTGAAAATGGCACGACAGCTGCCACCGAAGGGAACCGAGGGAATGATTCTCGAGAGGTTTAGGAACAGTTTGACAGACAGGTTCGGGTAAAGAGAAACCGCTGAATGAAAGTGTCGAGTAATAAAGTCAAAACAACTAACATTTGTCTGACATGGAATTTTTCCCCCCACTTCTTGCCTTTTAGATCCTTCCTTGCAGACGTGTTAAGAGTGCGCCGGAGACTTGTAGCGCTAGAGGGATCATCCACCGCAATGGCAGGCCCGGTGGCACTAAGCGCTCTTTTTATGCAGCCCCGTCCCCGGGATAGACGGGACCTGGGTACCTAGGTAGGTAGGTGTGACAACTAGGTACCTAACACCTCACCTACTAGGTATGTACATACATAGGTACTTCGTCTGCCTTTACACTACTTGTATTCAACAACTTCCCACTCTTGCGGACAAGAATGTTCGTGACTTTTAGCAGGCTTAGGACGCCATATCCATTCCTGACTAAAGGCCAAAATGGCACAGAACCGCTTGAGATATAACCATTCTGCTGTACTATTCGATTTCCGGAGACTCCTATTTGTTAACACCGAGGCCACGCTTGGCGCAACATGCAAATCAATAACATCCACTCGCCACTGACTCCCCAGATGACCTCGGCACCAGAACAAGTTACGATTACGTACAGTGAGTCACCGAGCCGCAACGACAGAACTTGAACCTTTCTTATGGACGAGAGAAAAAAAAAAGACGAAAAGTGAAGAAAGAAGCCGAACGCAGTAGCCGATGTTTTCAGCACGCTAATCCCAATAGGTTGCCCACTGGACTGCGTGTAAAGATCTAATGCAGTGGAATGAAGGGGCTTCGGCCTCTTCATCCACACTGCATCAACCACAAGAGCCCTTTGTACAATCTTTGCAATCGAATTCCCAGAAATGCTACCTCGAATATCCGTTGGGAACCTTGTAACACAGTTTGAATGATATAGTCCGCTTTTCTACTGCATATGCACGTGCGTGGTGTCTGCTTAGCCGCCCTTTCTTTGGCTCTCTCGATGAATACTTCCATCTCCTCCTGACGATCCCTCCTAACGTTCTAAAACACACCGAACCACATAACCCTATACATCGCCCAACCTGCAGCCCCTCTACTTCTCGCCCTCCCAGTCGGGGTTCTGCGGACAAAAGTTAGTAAAACACAATTTGAAAAGCAATGTTATCGATCTGCACGTACCTTGCGAAGAATGACGAGACCCTCAAGGGTGCTGCTAAGGCTGATGTATTGGTCATCCTCGAGCTCAGCACGCTCACCATAGCCCAGCAGTACAGGTGTGCTCTGGGTCTGCCAGCCAGTGATGGTCTTGGGGCGACCAGCCTGGCCCACCACATCAACAGCCTGACCGACACGAACGTTCACTGTCAAAGGCTTCAAGTCCTCATCCAGGGTAACAAGCATGCGAGGGTGCATTGCTGTCACAATCCAGTAGAGGAGATAGTGAGACTTCGACGTAATGAACTGCTTGGCATCAATCATGGCGACCAAGACAGCGAGGAGACCAGCCGTCGCCACGTTTGAAAGCACTTGACGGTCTGTGTGGAAGGGGCTGACGGAAAGAGTGCCCTTGCCCATGTGCAAGAGACCTTGTGCGATACGGACCATGAACAAAGACTCCTGATCTCTGTGATAGTAGCTAGCCAGCTGACGGAGCAGCTGGGCAAGTCTAGCGTTGTTCGTACCGGCACCCAGGAGACCCATAGCGAAAATGGCGTTGATGGCCACTTCATTGTCATTGTCGTGACTGTACCGTGACAGAGTGTCGTAAACCTTCATTTGAGGGTTGCTGGGGCTGATGAGACCCATAGCCAGCGGCACCGCTCGTCGGATGTTAGCTTCGCCGTAGTGCATAAGGTGACCAAAATGGCGGAGAACCATTTCCTGTCCAACATCTTCGCCCATGGCAATCAAGCCAATACCCAGAACGGCATAGGCCTGAAGCAACTCCTCGCCCTTCTTCTCCTCTCCATCCTCAATGTGCTCGTTGCAAATGTGAAGGAGCTCCTGAATCTTGAGGACGGCACCGGTGCCAGCCCAGGCGCAAATCTCAGCAAGAACAGCAGTTGGCTTCGCCATAGGGTGCTCAACCGCCTTGAGCGTCTCAAGAATAACGTCCACCTGTTCTTGGCGACCGAAATAGAGGAGACCCAAGCCAAGCGCAAGGAACCTGGACCATTTGTCATTGAGGCGACTTCCACTTTCTTCGTCCAACAAGGTAGTCACGATGGCCTCGCTGACTTCGGAATTGGAGGAGCCAACAAAGATCATACCGCAGGCCAGGGCAGCCATGGCCGACACCTGCATGCTCTCCTCAGGGTCGCTGATAATGTTGACCAGGAACGAGAGAAGCTCCTCCTTGCAGGACCCTGCGTACGCTAGTCCGAGACCCATAATGGTAGCTACGCGGATGAGCGGGTTCTTGTGCGCAAGCTTGTCGGGATCAGCCAACAGGGCCATCGCGGGCTCGGAGTCCGTCCTAACGTTAGTATTCATGATACCGATCGCGAGGTATGCGCCAGCTTGGATTTGCTCCTCCTCGAGATAAGTATACTTGTCGACGTGGTCAAGACCGTTTTCGACGTCCCAAAGGAGCAGAGTTCCCAGCGACGCCACTGTAGACATCATACCCTCATCCTTGGTCTTCCACACCCAGCTATCCTTGTCCTTACCAACGAGCATCATCTTGTCACTCCCAAAGCCGGCATTGACAAAAGCGTTGACGAAGCCGGCGGCAAGATTGTGTCGGGCAGAATCAAAGTTGGTCATACCAGCAACACGGCTGCTTTCGAGGTGGCTCTTGTAAATATCCTCAGTCGTTTTTGGCTCCAAGATGTTGAGTTCCTTCCCGAGCGACTTGAAATACTCCGACAGCTTCTGGTTGGACAGGCACTCGTAGATCTTTTCGTCGTCATCATTGCTCCTATCAAACTCCAATGGAATGCCCTGGCGCGCGATAAGGAAAGCGAGCTGCTTGCGGAGCGCAGGATCCTCGTCCGCCGCCTCGAAATCTTTCTCGATGAGTCCGAGATCGTTGAGTCTAATCGCAAGCACCATGGCTTGGGTGTGCTGGTTGTATTTCTTGTAGATGCTGTGCGCCACGCGAAGGAACGTCTCGTTGTCAGGATAGGTTAGGAGGTTGACCATGGAGACCATGTACAGGCAGACTCTCGAATAGGTGTTCTCGTCGAGAAACTTGGGAAGCTCCTCGATGATCTCGAGCTCGCTCATCAGATCGACGGCATCGGCTTCAGCGTTGCTCTTGAGAAAGAGCGGCACCAGAACCAGGGCAAGATCGACCAGCTCTTGAGTCGGCTCATCATTGGCTATGCGCTTGGCGTAGACCTCGCCAATCTCTAGAGCGAGATGGCGAACGTACTCATGACCCCACGAGCCGATATCCTGTGTCGGGGAAAGAAGTCTGTATTTCAGAGTATCCTGGCGGTCCTCGTCCGAGTATGTCATGCCGATCACCGATAGAACATCTGCGAGAGATGACTTGTCGTCGCCAGCGGGCCACTCGTCGTAGAGTTTCGTCATGGTCTCATAATGGGGGCGCAGGAACTTGAGCGGCTTCGGTACCGCCGTCATGGAGGATGTGGATGTCTTGATAGAGTTCTTCATGGCCTCGAGGGCCGGCTTGTAGAGGGTCGCATCGGATTCCTGAAGACATTGTACTGTTAGAGAAGCCGGTCTTCAGCCTGTATCACGTCATTGCGAAGCACCAACCGTTAGCCGCTCAACAAGCATCTCAAGCTCGCTCTTGAGCTGCTGATCCTCTTCACTGAGTTCCTCGGAAGCTAACGCAAAGCGCTGTCAGCAGAAGCCCGGCGCCGATACCTCAAGTCGGTCGGAGTGGCCGAGAAACCCACCATTCTGTTCCTCCTCCTTCTTTCCGTTTGCGGGGGTCTTTCCATCGACATCTTGGTGCTTCTTCTCGTCATCGACGGCCTTTCCCTTGCCCTTATCGGCCGTCTTGGACAGGTCGCTTTCTTGCGCCATGATTACTGGCCGTGATGGTTGTAGGTGGGAGGATTCGCGGAGCCGATGGGTCCAGTTGGAGGGGAAACCAAGGTCGGTTGGGCTGGCCGGGGTAGGTGGACGCGGCGGTGGCGTTCGCTGCTGCAAGAAATGTTCAAGTTTTGTCACCGAGTTTGCTTGAGCGACAGGAACTTAAGCTCCAGTCGTGAGCAGAATGTCAAAATCAAAAGTGGATGAGCTGGCTGCGGTTGTTTGGAGGTTGTTATGTTGTTCAGGTGACGGTTTTGGAGGTTGGAGCTTTTGCAGGTTCGCCCAGAAGCACCTCAGTTGCTGAAAGCCAGCAAAGGTCAGTGGCAGTTACGGTACTGACGCCAGGGAGCTCCGATGGTGGTTACGCGACTCGCTTGCCGCCTGAAGCTCCCCCGTCTGGCTGAGAACGCCCCTGCGATCCAATGCTGCCCGCCGCAAGTGGGTCTTGGAGCCTCGGTGGAGACGAGGCGTCATCAGAGCCTGGAAGATACAAATTCCGCTCCCCCCAAGCTTCTGATAAGATAAGCTACTGGCCTGGACCTGGCGCTTGACCGCCCGGGCAGGCACAGCTCAGCGAATGGAGCCCACGGCCAGCCCTATCTTATCGGGAAGATGTTATCGCAACCGTGCATCTGGAATTTGGGGGACGCCCACTTTCCATTCTGGACATCAGCTTTGCGCTTCACCCATCTTGACTTTGACTTCGACGAGAGTGTCGTAGACAGCAACCTAATAGCTCTCTTGGATCAAGACAACATCAGAAAATCTCTCAAAGCAACTAGGCCGACAATCACCTGAGAAAAAAATCCGAAGAGACCCACTATCATGTTTTTGGACACCAGAGTTTTACGCCATCTCACGGCAGAAGACTGGAGAGTCTTGACTGCCGTTGAGATGGGCAGCAAGAACCATGAGCTCGTACCGACCCCTCTGATTGAGAGAATTGCCCGTCTCAAGGGCGGTGCCAGCGGTGTTCACAAGAGCATAGCGACCCTTGCCAAGTCTGGCCTCATCGGACGCATGAAGGAGGCCAAGTACGACGGTTACCGACTGACCTACGGCGGTCTTGACTATCTGGCCCTACACACCCACTCCTCGAAAGATGTCGTCTACAGCGTTGGCAGTCGTGTGGGTGTCGGCAAGGAATCCGACATCATGATCGTAGCCGACAAGACCGGCAAGCAGAAAATTCTCAAGATCCATCGCCTAGGCCGCATTTCCTTCCGTACCGTCAAGTCTAACCGCGACTACCTGCGCAACCGGCAAGGCGGCTCATGGATGTATCTCTCGCGGCTCGCGGCCATGAAGGAATATGCCTTCATGCAGGCTCTCCAAGAAGAAGGCTTTCCCGTTCCCGAACCGATTTCCCAGTCCCGACACACTATCGTCATGAGCCTGGTCGAGTCCCTACCACTTAGACAGGTCTCCTCGGTTCCAGACCCCGCGAGCCTCTACGCTGAGCTTATCGACCTCATCCTTCGATTGGCCAAGCACGGGCTCATCCATGGTGATTTCAACGAGTTCAACATTTTGATCAAAGAAGAGCGGACCAACAAGTACACGATCGAGGACGGCGAGGAGAAGGAGACGGAGACGGTAACCCTTGTCCCAGTCATTATCGACTTCCCACAAATGGTGTCTATGGACCACGTAAACGCCGAGATGTACTTTGATCGCGATGTCGAATGCATCAAGAGGTTCTTCAAAAAGCGCTTCCACTTTGTGCCCACACAACCTGGTCCTTTCTTTAAGGATGCTAAGAAGACGGTTGGCAAGGATGGTGCTAAGCGGTTGGACGCCACTGTGGAGGCTTCAGGATTTACCAAGAAGATGCTCAAGGAACTGGAGAAGGCTATTCAGGAACAACAGGCGAAGATTGATGCGGGTGAGGCTGTGGAGGAAGAAGAACTCGACGAGGGCGAGGATGAGGAGAATGATAGCGGAAGCGATTCATATGATGAGGAAGATGAGGAAGATCAACAAGAGGAAGAGGAACACGCCGTGTTCGAGATTCCGGCAAATGTTGGAAGGCCTTTGTCAGATGTAGAGAAGGGGCTGGAAAAGTTATCACTTGGCGGCAAGGGCGGCAAGCGAAGGGCTTGAAGCACATTGAGAGGAGAAAAGAAACGCGTTCCATGTCAGCTTTGAGATACCCCCAAATTCCATGCATTTCTATCAAACAAATTCGTACTAAGACGTGCCAAGTAGGCTTTTGAAAGCTTTACGCTTATCAGTTTTTTTTTTGCAACCCATATGTTGATTATGACACCCTCCGCAAAAGCAGTTTGACACACAATCACAATCGAATAAAGCCCAACTTGAATCACATTGAAACGTACTAATACTTTAGCTTCTGCTCCCACCTAACCTTCAAAGACCTCTGGCGGCGATGTCGGCTCTACTGACCATTTTCCGCCGCTGGCACGATAGGCTTCGGCACCGGGACATAATCATACGTGCCCGCCATACCCATCAACCAAACCTGACTGGGGTGCGCAGGAACCTTCTCTCCATACAAGAATGAGCTAGGGAACCCAATATCGAACGGAACCGCGCTCTCAATCTCGTCGATATCCTGGTCCGACAACGCCAGCGTGAGCGCCTCAATGTTACCCTTCAGGTGCTCGACCGACCGGCCGCCAACAATCGGGAACACGTACGGAGCCTTGTGCATCACGTACGCCAGGGCGACGGAGGTGATGGCCGTGTTCTTACGCTGCGCAATCTTCTCCAGAGCCCGGCTGATTTTGATCTGCTCCTCGGTCGCCTTAATCTTGCGGCCCTCGCTGGCCTGCTGCTGGCGTTGCTCCTCCGACTTGAAGCTACCGCCTCCGAGGGCCCCCCAGGGCGCGAGCCCCATGCCTTCGTCCCGGCACATGGGAATGATGTCCCGCTCAAAGTCGCGCGAGGCGGCGGACCACCGGCCTTGGTAAATGCAGAACTGCCGAAGTGCGTGATCGCGCGCGTACTGGTTGGCCTTGCTGACTACCCAAGCCGGGGTGTCGCTAACACCCAAGTAGAGAACCTTGCCGCTGGTGACGAGCTGGTTCAGGGACTGCATCAGCTCGGGGATGGAGGTGGCAAAGTCCCACCAGTGAACGTAGAGCTGTACAATGGTCATATTAGCATGTTTATCTGTGATGTGTGAGGGCAGAGAACGTACGAGGTCGATATAATCCGTCTGGAGCTTCTTCAAACTGGCCTCAACTGAGACACGCATACTCTTGGTGCCGTTGCCTCCGAAATTGGCCATGATCTCTGTTTCCCCATGACCAGCTCTGAAATTGGTGGTATATTTGGTTGCGATGACTAGGACGACGATTAATGTCTGCTCCACGCGGACTCTATGGGTCTGATGTGTGCTTAAAAGGCTTCAGAAAGGTTCGCAAATTAGTAGCTTACCAAGTTGATCTCGGATCCCCCGTTTCTTCATCCACTCCCCAATCCATTTCTCAGATTCCTCCTTCTGGTAGTTGTTGGCAGTATCAATGAAGTTGCCTACACATCACCCAACATCACCGAGTTAGCTTCAGGGGAATAAGCCATAGGAGTTTCCCATCATACCTCCGTTCTCATAGTAAAAGTCCAAAATGCTCTCCGTAGTCTCTTGATTGCACTCTCCCATATAATCTTGCCTATGAAGTAAGGTTCCGCAGGTCAGTAATCAAACAATATCACGAACGGTTAGCAGCACAAGTCCGATGTGTAAAACCTACCACGAATCGCCAAAGTTCATCGACCCCAGACAAAGCGGACTGACACGGACGGATGCAGTAGGGGACAGCAAACGATAGCGGCCGAGGGGCCCCTTGGGGGGAGGTGCCATAGGGAGGGCCATTTTGAGTTCAAGGTAGGTTATATTGAAAGGTGGGATGGGATGAAAAGGAAGACTGGGATGAAAGAAGAGAGATGATCAATACACACGGGAAGTTCATAAGAGAAGGGACGAGGGAACGGAAGGAAGCTTGGATTATATGCCTGTACGACTGCCGAGTTCAGATCGGCCGGAGATTAAGTACAGCCCAGATCCATGATTCGTTAAAAGAAACAAGGATAGCACTTTGTTAAACAACGGGAGGCAGACAGGAGGGCCGTTCCCTTTTTCCTTCTATATAAGTTGACAAACGGAGATAAGGCAGAGATCACGGAGGCGGGCCTGACGAGTACCCCTAGAGCAAACCTCAAAATGTACAGGTGGGATCGGCTTGAGGGCAATGGCAAGCTGAAGTGGGGGTCTCTACGCTCTTCCACAGCGAGATGCCAGGCACGCAAGAAGACTGGAAATGTTCGGGCACCCGAGCAGACGGAGGTGATGGTTTCGATCTCAGATCTCAGAGTCCGTGTACGGCAAGTGGGGTTCAATCCAAGGTGGACCATGGACGATCGTGGGGAGCGGACGGGTTTGCAAACTCCCCGAACGACCAGAGGATAACTTTCGCAATCTCGATCTTGTGCTATGACTTTCTACAGAGATCGTTGATTTATAAGTCCGGCTGGAGATAAGCTTGTCTCCGTGGAGGGAGTTCAACGACCGGAAGCAAGGGCGAGGCCAGGGTAAAGACCGGAAGCACCTTTACCCCTCTTCGGACACTGCTCCGATGATTTCATGACTTCCGCATTTCGAGATGATCCCCACTTGGACCCAGGCGCGTTCACCTATTCTTTCAATGGGGTGGATGCTTCAGGTTGGCTCTGTTGGGGATATATTACTCAACCGTCGTCAAGGACTTAGTTTTGCACCGGTGAAAAATATATGTGACTGCTGTATAGTTCCATTGCGAACATACACTCGTACAGACCCCAGGTATCCAGCCAACCCTAACAATGACTTTATTTTGTCGCTAGACGAGTCCTCTTCATAAACTCATGAACACCAATATACGTGGCCGCCCCTTTTGCTTCACTCCAGTGTAAGTCGTGTCGTATGATGTCGTATTTGTACAAGCAATGCAACCCCCCGGGAACCATGTCGCTTTTAGCATGTCCAGACGCCGACGACACCGTCTTGACGGCCTTCGACCATGTAGCCGTCCCTGATGCGCACGCGTTCGACGATTGCAGGGGACTTGGCCTTCTCAGCCTCAGTGATGCCGGCGCCGCAGTCCCAATGCCGTCCCTCAACCTTATCGTACACCTTAACCACATCCTCACCAGCAGCGCAAACAATTCGGCGGGTGTCAAACATCATGCTGGTGATAGGGTGATCATAAGCGTAAGCGTCGAAGATTGATCCAGTGCGAAGATCCCAAATCTGTAACAAGCAGCAGTGTCAGTGCCATTCGGTTTCGTGGTGTTATGGTGGAATGAGGAGGTTGCTTACACGAATGCTTCTGTCCAAGCTGCCAGTGACGAGATGAACATCATCAAACTGGAGGCAGGTAACCGGGCCGGTATGTCCAACCAGACTACGGTGCACCTGTCCACTTCTAAGATCCCAGAGTCTAACCATACCGTCAGCAGTACCGCAAGCCAGAGCAGACTCAAAGACCTGCAGGGCACCAACGAAGTCTGCGGATCCGTCGGCAGAGCGGCTGGTCTGTCTCCAAGGACCGTCACTGCTGCCCATAGCGGTGGCTTGGGCGGCGGCCCACATCACGTCCAGTGTTTGCACGCAACGACCCTTTGTAAGATCCCACTGACGAAGCGTCTTATCGGCGGAGCCAGAAACGAGCACATCTCCCCTGAAATGCAAGGCCGTAATCTCGTCGAGATGGGCCTCGAGAGTGAAAAGAGGGCAATCAGCCATGCTTCCGGCAGGTGGATCGACTGCGTGATCGTTCGGGTTGACAAACGCAAGGTCCTCGTCCTCCTCATCGACCTCCTGGCTACCCTGGGGGTCGTAGTGGGCCTTGCTCAAGTCCCACAGCTTGATTGTCGCATCCATAGAGCCAGTAGCCAAGAAGTTATCTTCAATTTGAAGAGTGCGTACAGATGCCGTGTGACCTTCAAGAGTACCGATGCAGCGCCCGGCGTTCAAGTCCCACACACGAACCGAGTCATCCATTGCAGCCGAAACCATAAGACCAAAAGGAGCATCGAAGTCGAGAGCCGTGATGTTATCCTGGTGCGCGCGCATCGAGCGAATCATCGTGCCTGGCTCAAAATGCTCGTGGAGAATCGGGAGTGTCTTCTTGCGATGGTTGCGAGGCTTCTTCTTTCCGGGAGGAGTGTTGGCTGCTGGTAATTTCTCGTAGATGGATTGCGACATGAATCCTTCTTCAGTTCTTGATAGATCCTCCTCGGACTTGTTCGGTGTCGCCATCGCCAACGATTCCGCCTCATCAGCAAGTTCTTGAGCTTCGTCTAGCCTGCTCTCGACATCCATGACTGCCAGTTGCGGTTAGCAGGAGGTCCCAAGATTAAGCGCACAAACACTTACTGTCATGCTCTAATACTGCCTCCTCTTTTTCAAGATTAGCGAGCCTGTCGAGGATGATCTTGCGCATGCCGTGCAGATTGGCGATTTTGTTATCAATCTCACGGATCTCGCTGCTAGCCATATTTTTCCGAATACCAAGCATTTCAAGTTGGTGCATCATTGACGCCTTATCTTTCTTTAACCTCTGTACCGCGTGCGGGCTTCCTGGTTGCACAGGGCTCTCATCGAGCATCTTCCTCCCCCGAGACACCCGTCGCTTGTGCTTCTTTCCATCATCGGTAAAGTCGGGAAAACTGGCCTGAAAGCCCTGGAATAACGAGTATGAGTTGGAGCTGGCAGGGATGTTTCTGAGAAGCTCATCGGGCACGTAGGCCAGTGCTCGAGATTGAATTTCCTTTGACGACAGCTTGGAGCGCACTAAATCGGTGGGCGTCGTACGCGCTATAGCGAAGACGCCCCGTTGAAGCGTGGGCTTCTGGAGCTGCTTGTGTATCTCGGTCATGGCGGTCTGGTAGTGAGGATGAGAGGTCGGGTCGGTGATGGGGCCGATCAAGTGACTTGCTGTTGTCGTCACTTTGCGACCGAAGGCCTCGAGACCCCGAGTCTGTTGCAGTTCACCCATCTTGCATTAGTTTGGGGTTCTTGGGCTGCGCCAAGCGCAATGCGAAAAGGACTCAAGAGAGGCAGAAGGGTGTCATCATGGTGGTGAACAGAGTGCGGGAGACGAAGGTGAGGAGAGCTCACAGAGATTACGGAGGTATCGTCATCAATCGACACATCGTCCGGGAACACATCACGGTTCTGATCGGAGTTGGCCATCCGTTGGCACCGGGAGGCTGCTACCCAATCGAAAGAGGTTCAAAGAAATGCCCAAGAGGTTGTTGCCGCCCGACGAACTACTAAAGCGCAAAGAGGTCGAATAGAAGCAGGACACTTGGACGACGACGCGAGAAAAATCCTGCGAGCGCTACTATCGCTGCCAAATCGCACGGCCGGGAATCGAGCGCAGCTGCGGCTAGTGGTAGCGATGCCGAAGCGATGTTGTCAATGCCAGAGTCCGCGGCAGCAACATGTAACCACGGCAGGCTGAATCAATTGCAACTGCGGACGGATGTTGTAGAGGTTAATAAGGTAAGGTACCTCGCTCCAAGTTCGCGCGCGTGGATGCGGCACAAATTTGTTGTGTGAACCTGGTAAAGCACAGGAATCACTTTAGCTAGTCTGTTAACAACTACCACCACACGTCCCTGGGGCACACGGTTTGAAAGGTACCCTCTAAACACACTGGGCCCTCGGTGGTCGGCCTCTGCGGCTGGCAGCAGGCTGGTCGCAGCATGTGGCGGGGATGTGGATTTCCCGACCAGCCGATAGCGCGCCCCCTCAATTCCCATTTCTTCCCCTCACCCCCCTGGTCCTGGTTCCCCGCACGCAAGCGACGCGCCAATTCAGGCTTGGCTCCATTCAGAAGGGGGTGTAAGAGCAGGGATCCGGTGTCTGCCAAGAGAAACGCTGGAGGGCCAGTGGGGTACCGGATCCGCAGTATTGGTGCGTCATATGTACAAATGTACAAATGAACAACCCAAATTTTAACAGGGCCGTTGCAACGTGGGAATCCGATTGTTGTCCGATATCGAAGTTGCGATTGTTTGGTCCCAACTTTGCCGGTGGAGGGTCCTCAGGAGGGACTCAACGCTCACTGTACACAACAACCGCCTCTTGTCTTCTTTGTCAATTGATGTCTTACTTGCACATACAATCCAAATCTCTATTCCAAGCCGTTATTGCATGTACCGCGACACCTCGGCTTTCAAGATGGACGCTATCATCGAACTGTCTGACGTCGACAAGGCGCTTGATCTTTCGCGCATTCGCTACCAGCTAATGTGAGTCAAGAGAGAGCTCAAGCACTGAACGATCACCTCGACAATTCTGGAACCTATGCCAACTGATACGTGTGTCGAACAGCCGTCTAGAGGACACCATCATCTTCCATTTGATCGAGCGTGTTCAATTCCCCCTCAATAAGAACATTTACATCCCTGGCGCCGTCCCGCTCCCCGACACCGACCTCAGCTTGATGGACTGGTACTTGTGGCAGCAGGAGCGTCTCCAGTCCCTCATGCGTCGCTACGAGTCACCCGACGAATACCCTTTCTTCCCCGACGCCGTGCAGAAGCCCATCCTCGAGTCAATCGACTACCCCCAGATCCTCCACCCCAACAACGTCAACGTCAACGATAAAATCAAGGAGTTCTATACGCAAAAATTCCTTCCCAGCGTGTGCCCCGACTTTGGCCGTGAGGATCGCGGTGTCAACAAGGAGAACTACGGTTCCTCTGCCACCTGCGACATCGCCTGCCTGCAGGCCATCTCCCGGCGCATTCACTTTGGCAAATTTGTTGCCGAATCCAAGTTCCAGTCTGAGACGGAAAAGTTCACAAGGTACATCCAGGCCGGTGATCGCGAAGCCATTGGAGAGGCTATCACCAACCAGGCTGTTGAGAAGAAGGTGCTGGAGAGATTGAAGCTTAAGGCGGAAACCTACGGTACCGACCCGTCAATAGGCGCCTCCGAGGCGGAGAGCCAGCGCAAGATTAACGTTGAGGCCGTCGTCGCTATGTACGAGGAGTTCGTGATTCCTCTTACCAAGGTGGTGGAGGTTGAGTACCTCATGCAGAGACTGGAGCCGGCGCCCGCCCAATAGCCATGATGCAAGTGACCGGCAATTAATTGAAACAACAACAAAATCCACAGCACTGCAGGCAGGAACTGACGATGCGTTGGAAATTTCCCGTTCACGTCCCCCCTTTTCTCGGTGCTTCCATATTTTCGCAATCCATTACGGTAAATTAGTTGGCCGCGCCAATGCAATCCCCGATAGCTTTGACAGCCTGCTTGAACTTGCCCGCCTCAATAAGCATCATGAAACCCTGTGACTTGACGCCCAGCTCCTGGAACGCGCGCTTGCTATCGGCCGAGTCTCCCTCCTTGGTGAACGTGTAGGTGCCCGCACCGACAGCATGCTTGCGCATCTCGTCGTCCTCCGGGTGGAAGTACTGCAGGCCCTTCTCATCGCGTAGCCGCTTGCGCTTCTGCTCCTCCTGGTCCAAGCTCGACTCGATCTCGACGTACGCGCGCGACACCACCAGGTAGTGCGTAAACTCGTATGGCTCCTTGTCGTCCACGGCGTCCTGGATCTCCTCGATCATCATGTTCCACATGGGCGGGATGACTTCGGCCGGCATGTTGATGAGGCGCTCCGACAGGACGATGCCCACTTGGGCCTTGCCGGAGGTGAACAACTCAGGCAGCACAGACAGGCTGGAATCACCGGCCTTCACGGCCTTGTCGGACAGGTACTCGATCAGCTGCGCGACCGGTTTCTTCTCGCGGTGCTCCCACGCGTTGAGCACGGTCAGGAAGGCGTAGGCGTCGTTGGCCTTGTCGTCCACCTTGCACGTCGAGCCGATGGTGTTCTGCTCGATGATCATGTCGCTGAGCCCGGACAGGTCGAAGAGCTGGGCGTCAGCGTCGAAGAGCTGACGGAGAAGCGTTTTGACGCCGTGGAAGTCGATGTCCTTGTCGTAATTGAACAGCTCGAAGTCGACGTTAATGATGTCCATGTCCTTGTTTCCAACCAATGTTAGTATTATGACTCTCAGCCAGAGAGAGTGTCAACCAAGGTGCAAGTGGTTGGTTTAACAACCGAGCCTGGTACACCAAGGTAAAGTAACTCACCTCATCCGAGTCTGAGCTGTCACTATCCTCATCCATCTTATCGACTGTGGGGTCGTTCTGGACGACCTCCTTCTGGGCTTCCTCTCTTGATCTTTTCTTGCCCATCTTGAATGTGGTACTTGAATGACTCAATAAAAATGGTCCTTATTCGACTTGTCAGTCACATATTCCACACATGATTGTGTTCACAGGGCTCCTTACTTGGTGATATGTGGTTGACTTTGAGGTCATCCAGGCCGTCAAGCTCAAAATTTTGTAATGCAGTTGTTTAAGATTGAAATTGATAAGAACCTTATCGCCTACCTGCATATACCCTAACCCTTTCCGGCTTTACATACAACAAAACGGTTGCTAGGACAACCACAATTGCCCAAACTCCAAAAAAAAAAGGGGGGGGGGGATTTCCAACCACGTTCACCCAGTTGATGATCTGCCATTGTGGAAAACTGCCATCGCGAACGATAAATGAAAGATACTTCATCTTTACGGGCAGTTATTGTCTATGGATGCCAAAGAACTGCAGGCCAGTCATATCCAAAATGCTGACTTGGCTGCACCATTGCTGCCCTCAAACTAAAGTATAAGCTAAATCGTTGATCTTCTTCCACATCCTTAATGTTGTCTACCGAAAGTCACCACGTAACCCTTTACTTCTGCTGTATTCAGCTGGCGCAACATATTCCTCAACATTCTGACACCAGTTGATCACCAGCAGCGCTCCTGAAATAGCTGTCAAACAGACCCTCCTCCCGCAACTCTCGCACCCCAAACGTCTCATCTTGGTATGGGTCGACATGACATTGTCGGCAGCCACGGAGCTCTTTTCATGCTTGCATAACCAATCCTCGGCAGGGCATCACTTCTCAAATAGTAACGTGTATCACAAATTACACCTGCTCAGCGCCCCAGCCCGCATCCACCTCGCGCATGTTTGCAGGGGGCTCAATAGAGGGCACAAATTCGAGAGCGACATAGGCAACGCCGACAAGGAAGATGATCGAGCCAATAATGATCGTAGCCCAGTGTCCATGGGGAATGATGCAGCCGACGAAGATGTAAACTGTACAACGAGTAGAACGACGATTAGCCACCCTAACTCAGCAATAGCAGCAGAAGAAAGGGGGGTGGGGGGCTACAATAACGTACAAGCACCACGACCAAGGAACGAGAACATGAACGACGCATAGCGGTAGACTTGGTGAGGGATCTGGAACTCCAGGAGACCGGTGGCTGTGAAGAACAGTATCAGCGTTTCGGAAACCATTTAAATGTTTCTGTCGAAGTATGCGACCACCTACAAACACCAAACAGAATCGTGTAGCACCCGAGGATAATTGGTTGACTGTCGACAGTAACTTGGTCAGTTTCACGTCCCCATACGATTTCTATCAGCCTCCGCAACAGTCCGGACAAAGCATGCAACACCCTTGTGAGCATAGGCGGGCGCGCACTGGCAGCCAGGACATCCAGGCTTCACGACCATGATCGATTTCGGCGACCGCCCAAGATTGCTGCGTCCACAATATCCGCTCGTGGAGGGAAGCGCATAACTTTGTACAGTCGGTCGGCTTGCTAACGGGCGTAAGATGAGGGAACGTACATTCCGAGAGGGAAGAACTGGGAGACACCACCCAGGATCATAAGCACTGCAACCGCGAGGTTGACGATGCGACTAGAGAGGAGGACATCATGTTAGCAAGTAGTTCTGAACCTCGAACGGATGCTTGGATGCGCGCAGTATTGGGGGCCAGCAGTCTTGCTTGTTCTCCGCTTTCATCCCTTTCTTTCTTTTCTTTCTCCATAGTCGCACGAGCGGGCGGATGTAAACGTACAAAGAGTCGGAGAGATCCATTATGGCGTTGTTTTAGTAGTGGCTGTGGTTGTGGAGGAGGAATGCGAATACGTCGCAAAGGTTGGTAGAATGTCGCAGGAATAGGTGCGATCTGCTGAGTTCGACGCAATCTAGAGAGCGATTCAAATTGAGTCTCGGAGATTTGCGCGAGCGTAGAGATAGATGTGGCCACTTGGTGGTGGTTCTTGACGTAGCAACGAAAGATGTTGTAAGGATGGTGTATTCTAAAGTGTTGCCTGGAACAATCGAAGCTCGAGGTCAGGAAGCTGTGGAGGTTGGCAACCGGTCATAGGTAGCCTCACCTGCACCGGGCAGGAGGGTCGGGTGGTCCCTACCTATACCGGGGTACATTGTCCACTAAACCGGCCCCAAACGCGCGCAACGTGGGAGCTCCGCCCTACAACGCTGATGCAGCGTGCGCGGCCTCTTGTCACTGGCTCCTACGGCATGTCAAGGCAGGGGCTTTCCGTCTGGAACTTTGAAACTTCCATTGCCGCATCACACTTCGCCATTGCAGGGTGTTGCAATTAGGGTATACAGCCATGAGACGGCTTTTACTATGCAAAACCAAATTCACTGGACGGCATCGATGAATAGACGCATAACCACTATGCGGATTCTATGACTAAAGGTCTCTGGCTCCAACTGTTATTGGGATTTCCTCAAAAAGACTATGCCTTCCGTTGCTATCTATCTATGCACAAGTCAAATTCCATGGGTATGCTCTCCCGAATAACTCCAGTCGTTTCCCCCGAATTTACAGCATGCCGCTTTTTCAGCCTCCGCATATCAATCATAACCCAACTCGGCAAGCTCCCGTTCCTTTGCGGCCAGCAACTCTCTCATCATTTCGGCCTCGCGCTCCAACGCTGCTCGTCGCTCTGCCTTCATCCGCTCGCTATCATTGAGGGTATCTCTCGAAGCGCTCCGCAAAATCGGAGCTAATGTTGGTGTCCCAATAACCGTACTGTTTGAGAATGACCCTGGACTGTGTGCTGGAGTCAGACTGCTCATTGCTGGGGACCGGGAGGCTGGTTGCATCCGTAACTGGTCTGCCGGCGAGACCTCTCGGTGTATCTCGGAACTCGGCATCGGGTTGAGAATGGATTTGATGGAAGACAGGCGCTTATGACTTTCGTTGTCATTATGAGACGAAGGTTCGTTCTCTACAGCAGATATCGACCGCTTTCTTGATGGGGACAGAAATGATGCTGGTGATATGGACGCTTGACGATCAACCGGGAGCGCCAGTGAATGAATGGGAGCCAGTCGATTCTCGTAAGTGAGAGATGCATGAGCCCCGTGGTGTGGTTGATTTGTATGAGATGAGTGGTACTGTCCCAAGGCGGCTGAAGACAGCGGGGACGCCTGTCTGTTTCGCCGCAATTCATCCTCAGGCACGAGCGTCAATGGTCGCACTGAACGTCGACGGATGCCGAGATTAACAGATCCATCTTCGTTGACCGTACCTTTCTCCATCGGAGGTTCTGATGTCGCGGTTGGTGAATCTGGAGCCTCACTTGGCTCAATTTCGGCATCACCTCCGGAGGCAGGAATCACACGTTTTCTCCGTTTGATTATTGCCTTTTTCATGGTCACTGGCCGATGCACACCGTGCAACTTGTAATAGAGACCTTTACTCGAGTTAGCAAATTCCATCCCATTTGTAACTTTTCGGGCGATAAGTTCATGCACTTACCGCACGCATTGCAAATGGTATGACCGGCTTCATCCCTTCGCCAGAGCGGAGTAATGGTAGTACCGCAGTTTTGGCAAGCAATAACAACGGTTGTGTTTTGCGATTGTACGTGTAAGGCGGTGATGTCCACCTCGGTCGGTTCTTCCCCGCTGCCCTCTGCTGCTTGAGGTTTCTTGGAAGACGCGGCTGCTGCGCCCTGACATTTTAGCACGTTGAGACTCGCACTCTTGGAAACGCGGTTGTTGTATGCGGGGCAACCACCACACCCCTCCGCACCACCTGTGCCGTTGCATCTTCCGCCTCCAGGGCACGATCCTGACGGCGTCTGATCGGCGGCCACATATGTTGCTCCCGGGTTGCTTGGCAGTAACGGTGCGGTTGCTTTTTTAGGGGACAGTTTGGCCGCGGCCTGCCTAACATTGCTCGCCATCACGCTGGGAGGGCGCCTGATGTTGGCGGGGCGAGCCGCGTTACGCGCCTTTAGGTACAGTCCGCAAGCGTTGCAAATGATGGCTCCTTGAGGTGATCTTCGCCAAAGAGGAGTATGTGTCGTACCACAATTGCTACTCAGTCGTTAGCGCTGGCCTACAGATTCAGTCATTAGGAAAGGGACATCCATACCTGCAGACTTGACCCGCATGACCCTGAACAGAAGGCACAAGTCCCAGCGTTGCAACGTTCACCACCCCCACGGTCTCGGTTGGAGATTGTGCTGGTTGGGCATTTAGGATTTTTGGAGACTTCTTGCGACCAGACGGACTCTGCGCAGCATGCCCCGCTTTCTTTGAATTCGGCGAGAGCCCGGATTCGGACTTGGAGGCCGCCTCGTCAACCGGTCCGGTTGACTCGTGCTTCGGGGGCTCGTTACTTGCGGTCATTGGGGGTGGCCTTGACGGAAGGGCCATACGACCAGGTGCCGAGTTACCTTCGGTGGAAGTTTGGTTGTTCATAAGGCGAGTGTCATCCGGCAATGCCATTCCTTCTCGATGTGTTTGCGTATGGATCTCAACCTAACAATATGTGTGCTCAAGGCTAGTTATCCGTCTTGAGAAGGGACACAATGTGTTTGAAAGCCTGTTGAAAAACAAAAGTGGATGTTGTACGGCGCCAGGAGTCTCGAGGTTGCGCAGGCTGGCTTCAATATCGCTCCGTGATCGTCAAGAGGCGGAAACGGTATCGAGGTCGGCGGTCAAACACATGCCGAGATCGATCGTTGGAGTTGTACTTGGATGGCAAGTAAGCCACCCCAACTTCTGGGCAATATGCGCTAAGGACCAGGCGGGATCCGGGGCCAATACAGAGCGCCGGTACCAGGAGAACAGCACGTGTTGGGTGTCCGAAACAGGCGATTGATGGGGTCAAATGGCCAGAGGAAGCGAGTACTACAGACCGCAGCAGGGTGCCGCTGAATCAGAGGTTGGTTATGCTGGAAGAAAAGGCTTGGACAGGGCGCCAGGTTGTGGTACGAGCGGGTTCGCGTTGATGGCAAGACCTGGACGGTTGTGTACTCCGGTAGAGTGCACGAGGATGGCGAAGTCGGTTGGGATCCGAGGTGGCAGATGGGGAGATGGAGCAAAAGGGTTGGTGGACGGAAAAGGCAAAGCAAAAAAGAGGGCGGGTCTGGGCCAAAGGTTGGTCTTGAGGTTTTCTGTCGTCTTTCTGTCTTTTTGCGTCTTCTAGGTGAGTGGACAGACGAATGTCTGCATATCCTTCCCCCTTTGCCTCAAGAGTCTCTGTTGTGCTTCTGATTACTACTCCACTGCTCCACAGATCTGTTATCTGATCTACGGATAATCCTGGCGACCAAAGGGCTGAGAGACGGTTGGATACCGTACGCAGGAGGGCTTCACCCAGGGGTTCATGCTAAGTAGTCGTTGCCAAGGACAAACGCGTCTGGAAGGGAGGAAGGTTCGACAGTGTCTTAGCCTGGAGGAGGGCCACAAGAGAACGAAACGGTTTGACTTTACAGTACGACACAGAGAGGATTTGGCACAACAAAAATCAAACCCGTTTTTGTTCGGGAGACCTGATTTGAGATCACGGGACGTGGAATTGGGCTGGCTACAGGATGAAAAAGGCCCTTTCTCAGGTCCAGTGTCACCGGTCGACTTGGGGAGATGCTGCAAGGGAATAGGTGACCCACAAGGTATTCAGATATGTCCAATCACAAACCGCGCAATGTCAGCAGACAGGGCTTAGATGAGAATGACCGGGGTTCCTTATGCGTGCATTGGGTACGGGAACGCAGTGCCGACGGGTCAGTAAGCCGACCAATTTTGCATACATTTCTCTGTAGACGTAAGTGTACATTTTGACGCAATGCGCCACCGTCAAGTCTCGCTTACCTACACTATCTAGTGCAGTTCTACATTGGTGTTTTTTTCCAGCCCGTCAGGCCCAGCAGGACATGTCTCACGACCTGAAAATATGGGTTCGGAAATGGTCTTGGTTGCTATGGTAGAAGGTACTTTATATCATCGCCGCGACAGCACCCAAAAAAACACCCACCATCATTTCCGAAAATCCATCCCGGACCTCAAGTGGTCTGGAAGAGGTCACCTGGAAATTTGGCCCGCCAGGATTACATATTTTGAACCAACCAGTTACCTCTAGCGTACATTCAGACTAGTGGAGTAAACCAAAAGGTACAGGCACTACGAAGGAGTAACTTCATTCAAGAGTTACCTCTAGTGTAGTCCGCTTTACTTGAAATTACCAGAAACGGACCACCACATTTATAGAAACCATTTTCCGAACGCCATTTGCAGGTCATGGGATACGTCCTTACGCAATCGCCTACGTGAAACACAACATATCTTTCCATTTGAGCATGCTCTATCGCGGACATTTACTCATGCCACGGATCGCGAAATCAGAGTCAGTACGATGCAGCCGGTCACGGTGCTGCGTACTAATTAATGTCGGGCTCGGCGGTTGGATGAATGGAAAGATTACTGTCTTTATCGCCTCAATCAGACAACCTTCCTGGCGCTCCTCTGATCGGCCTATCGTGCATATCTGTACATCCAGGACGCCATCCATCTCATCGTACACTACAACCTTGCCAAGATCGGGACACTCCTCGACAGTCCACGATAGTTCAAGGTGGTTAGGCAATATTTTGTAGATAGTAGTGCCGTTTGTTCCTGTGATCGCAAGGAGTTTTGTCTCCGGGTCACGGGCTCGTCGTCACTCATCTTCTCGGGCTGCGAAATGTTTGATGTTCCTTCAAAGCTCACTGGGGTTAGCATTGTCACTAGGTACAGCTTTCAGTCAACCTTGCTACCATTCCTCACACGCTCATTCACCCAACCTCAGATATCCTTACAACCCAAGTCTAGTTCTATGTAGTCTAAAGAAAAGAGAAGTCTATTTTTACCCACCCCCTGAGCAACCAGCTCATCAATTACCAACCGGACCCGGACCAAAGTGGTTGATCATAAGCTCTGACCGATACTTTAGCTCTTTTTAGTAGCCCACTGTACACTAGTGCACACCGATCACCTCATCCACCCCCGGCAGTCGATGATCTGATAGCGATGGCCCCAGAGTCCCAAAAAAAAAAAAAAAAAAAAAAAAAAAAAAAGAAAAAGAAGGAAAAGGAAGATCATTCCATGATGGGGGACTTCTGTGGACCCCCAATCACCCCATCGATCCATCAAACCCGTACAGCCGCATTACATGCCAAGCATTTTTATCAATTCCCGCATCACGGATCAGTTTATCTGTTGATCCACTTGGTACCATCTCCGAACTCCACTCTCCCTGTGGATTGTTTTCGAACGTTCCATATCCGGAGACCGGAAGCTTTTCGTTGACATTTGACGGAGAAAGACACCACTTTAACCCACGTGCGGATTTTCTGCCCTGCGTGGCTCGGCCAGATCTGATGGATGTTGATCAGCAACTACAGTACATAACTAGTGTACGTACTTGAACACTAACGAAGGCTCGACGCCCTGTCATGACTCCGTCTTCCTTGACTAACCAGTCCAGAAACAAAGGTCCTCCGGCCCACTATTCAGTATGATTCGCTTCGCTATGCATTCACACTAGTACCTACAAATGAGCCTTTTTCGATATGGAGCTTTTCATCAGCGATGTTCCTTGGCACCCTTCAAAGTTTTAAAAAACACCTCGGCTCGGTGATCAAGGCCCTCAACCAACCGGCAACTTTGCTAATGGTATTAGGAGTACGGCGCATAATCAGCAATACAATGATTGGCTTCGTATTTGTTGACGTCTCGTGGACCAATTTTGCAATTCTGCAAGAAAAAAAAAAAACACCGTCAAGGTGTACAACCTAGTATGCATCCAGGATGAGGGTTTTGGAATCACGGAGGAAATCTGCGGCATAGACAGTGTCATGCTCATGCAAGTACCTATGTTGAACCAGTATATGTTTACATGTGCTTTGTGGAACATCGATGTTCAGACTTTAGAAGACTTCTATCGTGAGTTCAAACCCTCACTTGGTACGTAACTTCCTGTAAATTTCCGAATTGAACAGCGCTTTCCATATTAACACCAACCGTCATTTGGAGAGTTGTGGGGCAATTGTTGTACCTCAACAAATCTCGTTGGATGAGGAACCCATCGAACATAAAGAGATACATTGGCAACAAGCCTCAAGACAATGCCCAACCACATGTCCCCAGCCAACCATCATTTGATAGAAGTACCGAAATGCCACCTTCCTCGGCGATATCAACTTATGACAAGGTTGTGGTGTGTAGAAAACCGAAGAACTGCTTGTAAATTCACGAAAGCACAAAGCAGGTATTTGCAAAAAGAGAGATTCTGGGTGTAACAGAACAGCAACAACCGTTAGCAGGGTATCTTCGAAGCAAGCATATTAGATCCCTCCGTTACAAAGAGATGTCCATGAAAAAAACATGAAGAACTGAAATTGCGGAAACCTTGAGTGCCATATCACCAACGTGAAACCATGAGTTTCCCAGCCCGGCATTTCAGAAATCAGGATCCTTCTTGCTTCTGTGGCGTCGAGCTTCAGCAATGAATCCATGTTTCCGTGCCCTCATCAATGTATCCCGAGCCATGTGAACGGCGATAGCGACGGTCAGTGAGTTCCACAGCCAAAGCCCTCTTGCGTTGAACTTGACTTCCTCAATCTGCACAACGCCTTGTTCTGGCGATGCAGCATCGTAAGTGGACAGCACGAGGGTGTGCTGAACCACGGTGAAAACAAAGATGGTAGGTGGTTCCGCAACATACTCCCCAATCTCATCGTCCATGAGCACCTCGCACCAACTCAGGGCAACGTCCTCAACCCGCTTCCTCACACTATCGGAAACCTCATGGGCGAAGTCTTTTCTGCGGGAGTATTCATACTCCAGCACCAGAAGCAGTGGAGGAAACTTGCATTTGTCCAACCCCGCATCTTTCAAAGCCCATTTCCAATAGCGGCTGATGGTTTTTGCGGTATATGGCCCCATAAGTTCGCGCTGACCAAGCCTCTCAAAGTCCAAGATGTGCTGGGTGCAAAGGAACACTGCTTCGAGTGCTTTACAGGCTAAAAGAACAGGACAGTCAGCATAAACTATTCAAAAACAGATGTGGAGGTTTGGTATTATACGTACCAGCAAGCTCATTCCCATAGGCCTTGATAATTACCTCCTTCCTGCTGTCCTCTGGCGCAAAGACATGAGTGAGGTTGTCCTCAGCGATGCCCCACATCTTGTAACTCCATCGCCACGAGGCTGGCATCACGGGGTGAAGACCTCTTAAAAAGATGAGTTTGTGAAGATGGCGTTGCTCCTCATTCCAATCTTCATAGCCCGATACACGCTTTATGACCTTGGCATAATCTTGAAGGTGGAGAGGGACCTCTACATATTCGTCCCAGTTGCTGTTGGTGCTGTACGCGGGATTACGGGACGTCTCACGAGTCAAGCGCTTGCTGGACATTTTTGACATTTGGGTGTGGCCGTTATAATAGCCCTGGTTGTCATCCAGATCGTCATCGTCAGCGCTGTCATCATCGTAATCATCCTCGGTCTCGTTTCCCTCGTTGAAATCGGCCTCATCAGTCTCGGATCCTTTAGTGGAGGGCGATATGGCCACCTCGATGGTGGGGTAAACCAGATCTTTTGGGTTCCTCCGAGGTGTAGTCTGTCTTCCACCAGCAACATAACCTCCACGAAGCTCCAGTTTTGTGCTGCTGTCATCCTCCGCTGTAAAATAGCATTCGGTGAAGTTTGATGAGCCGACGCCCAGCTGGGCTTCGAGCAGAAACATGTCGACATCACCGTCGGCGTCGGTGATGGTGGGGCTGGGGGTAGCCATCGTAGCAGGTCGCATATTTCTTGCGCGTGTTTTGTAAGGCGCATAACGCTGGGCTTCTGACTTTCGAGGTGAGGTTTTCATGTTGAGGGGAAAAACAAGGGAACCCGAACTGAAAAGGAGGAACAATGGGGGAAAGCTCAGATAACGGCAGGCTCGTCGGAACTCTCTGATGAGATGTGAAACGTGGATGAGGCGAAAAGTGAAGAGAAGATCATGGAGTAAAATCGAAGGGTGTTGAAGCGACCCAAAGTGGAAATGTGAAGGTCAAGTGCTCTTGCAGTTGGTTTCTATGGTCGAAAGACGGCGCTCGACGGGTCGCAGAGCTGGGAGACAGCTGGAGTGTTTCTGGATAGCAAGTTGTGATCAGTCGGCTTTGAAGAGGGGTCCTCCTGTCCCGCCCGGATTGGGAGTTGGAATTTCTTTGTTTCGAAGTCGGGACAATAAAGACAATGATGTAGTCCAGATAGAAGGCAGCTTTGGCGGGCAGCCTAAACGAAACCAGGAGATGAGCTTTGTTTGTCCTTCTTCAGTGACAGTGTCGGGGGGAAGTAAGCATGAGGTAAAATAGTTTCCGCAACGCCGGCATCGACATCGACGTTGTGCGGCCAAAGCTTGGGTACCATGCATCTAACACCCGATGAGATGTTTTCAGCGCCGCACGTCAAGAAAGGTGTAGGGACGAAAACCACAATTGGTTCAGTGTTGACAGGATGGCCTCGCAACTCCTTTGGAACTCTTGAATTAACGACGTCGGCGCCCAACTCGACCGGTGGCTGACTTTTTCTGGTCGTGGTGTGTCTAGTCAACGCGGTTCAATGAGAAGGCGCCACCCACTGGTTGCCTGGACAATAGGGAAGTTACGATCGATGCGTGCCAATACTACTTGGTTGCTGTATCCTATTCAACTTCTCCTTCCATCTGGTCAACTTATAAGGCTGCGTGCCTGCCGATCTGGTAGCTCCTTCCAACTCGGCTCGGTTCGTGTCCTGTCCTTCCTGGTCCCAGGTACAACGATACTTCCCAGCATTTGTGATGACGGGACTGGAGGTAACTGCTTGTGTTACCATCCTGATGCCCAACCCTCAAGCACTGGGATGGGATGAGTTCCGAATATGTCTGAATTGATGAGCCGTGCATCCACATACGTTCCCAGTTTGAACAATATCTCGAAGGCTCAACTCATCCCTGGCTCGGATGGCTGGACAATGCAGCCGAGTAATGTCCAAGGGTTTCCTGTGAAAGCGCACAAGGAACACGAGACACCTGACGAAGTTGTCGAGATGTAGTATTTGCGATTGTTTTGTAATAACCGTTGTGGGAAAGTTGAGGGCTCACGTCGTGATATAGACATGCAATGCAGAGTCAATGGTGGTTTCAAGCCGTTGCGCTTCTGTTCGAAAATCCATGATCGACGTCACCGTTGTGGATAATACAGAAAAGCTAAGGAGGTACGTACTGTGGGGCGGTGCTTAGGTAACGGGTCGTTCCAGGGAAGATGAGTGGGTCTCTTCGTCCCGCTTGCTGTGGGGCGACCACTCATTTTGCGCCCAGCGACGGTGGGGAGTCCGAGCGTCGGGGTACCCACCACAGTGGGTGGTGTGGGTGGCTCCAAATGCCGCTTGCTTTTCTTGTCCATTCGCGACGCGCCCCGGACTTTGAAATCTCCAAAAAAAAAAAAAAGTCACCGTCCCAAGCTCGCCGCAGGCTTCATTCACTGCAAAGACACCCAGCCTCACTTAAATTTGATCTCGCGCTGTCGATTGAAATACCCACGAATCACACTAATTACGACTGGATCAATGGTCAACATGACGAGTGACTGGAGCAAGCTCACAGTCGTTGACTTACGTCAAGAGCTCAAGCGCCGCGGGCTCTCTCAGGCTGGGAAGAAGGCCGACCTTGTCGAACGCTTGACTGTCGACGACCAGGAGGCCCAGGTATCTCAACAAGAAAGAGACGCGCCCCCACAGGCGGAGCAGGAGGAGGACAAAGAACAGGACAACGAAGAGGTCAAGGAACAGAACCAGGAAGCAGAGGCCACCAGCGCACAAGCCGTTGAGACCACAGCCGAAGATGAAACCACAAAGAGCCCCGGCAGCCCTGTCCCGTCGCCGGTGAAAGCTCCTTTGCAAGAACCTCAGCCCGAAGCTCCCTCTACATCCACGGCTCCTGAGCCAGTTGCTCCCGAAGAGAAGACGACTATTGCGCATGACGCCACACAAATAGAACCGGACGTCAAACAAGACAAATCAAACGAGCCGACAAGGGAGTCCGCTGCAGAATCTGCGCCCGAAGCAAACAATATTCCTGCGATCAGAAACGACAAAACTGAAGAAAAGGAAGAGAAGGTTGAAGAAAGTAACAGCGGATCTGTACCTGTGGCTCCTGAACTCACTAGCGATACGCCTAGCAGAAAGCGCAGATCTCGCAGTCCCCCTCCGGAGGAAGAAACGTCTAGGAAGCGTGCGCGCCCTACCGAGCAAGAAGACGAAGATATACGCATGAGTGGACTTGAAAGCCAAACCGACGAAACAGTGCTACCCCTCGACGACGAGCAGGGCGCCAAAGACGCTTCTTACGCCACAATCCACCCCGAGATTCCCCTCGCAGCCGACTCAGAGAAAGTTTCTGAGATGCACGAAGCGCCACAGCACCGCCAAGCTTCCGAGCCGCGCGATTTGAACGATGGCGATCAAGAGGAGGAGTCTCGCGACCGTGTACAGACCGAGGCTGACCTCAAGCAACGATCCCCCGAACGGGCAGCGCACGATCGGAGCGCTGTGAAGTACGACGCCGATATGGACATTGACGAGCGAGATGTTGCCCCCTCCGAACACCCTGCGACCCAAGCGCTATACATCAAGAACTTCATGAGACCGCTCCGCTCCGAATTTGTTCGTGAATATCTCCAAGGGCTCGCCGCGCCCCCGGGCAGCCTGCCGGATCCTGACTCCATCCAAGATTTCTACCTCGATCAAATTCGCACCCACGCTTTTGTCAGCTTCACCTCCGTCGCGGCTGCCTCGCGCGTTCGTGTCGCTCTCCACGGAAAGATTTGGCCTAATGAGCGGAATCGAAAGGAGCTGTGGGTGGATTTCATCCCTCCCGACCGGGTGAACGAGTGGGCGGAGACGGAGCAGTCGGAAGGCGGCCGCGGCAATCTCGCCAGGTGGGAAGTTCGCTACGAACGTGACGAAGAGGACGGCAACATCACTGCCCGCCTCGTCAACGCCGAGCTCGAGCCGACGTCAGCCCTTGTAGCCGCTGCTGCTTCCGGTACCCGCGGATCAGTATCCTCCTCAGCACGCGATCCCCTACCCCCTCCAGCCATCCCCTCCGGCCCCGCCTCGGGCCGCCAGCAACAACATCCCGGCGTCGAAGGCGCGCCCTCAGGCCCCCGTGGCCGTGGCGGCCGCGTGCCCCAGCCCGCACTTACGGGCGACGAAATGAAGGCAACCCGCACTCACCCGTCGCTGCTCTACAGGCCCGTTAATGCCGAGCTTGCGGAGCGCCGTCTGCAAAACATGCGGTCGTTTTACACCCGCGATCGCCACCGCGACATGGGCCGGGAGGACGAGATCAACCGGTACACGTTCGAGGACAACGACTCGTTTGTCGATCGCGGAAAGGAGGTGTTTATTGGGATTAGGCCGCCACATCGCGAGGCGGAGCGTCGTCGTGGTCGTATGGGTGGTGGTGACGGCGGTCGTGGCGGGCCACCTCCCCCTCCTTTTGGCCGGTCTCGTGGTGGTGATCGGTATCTACCCGGTGGGGGTGGAGGACGCGATGAGCCGCCGCCGAGGAGAGGCGGCGGTGGCAGTGGAGATGAACCTAGGTCGAGATTTGACGGCGCGCCATTGCCTACGTTTGGAGGTGGACCTCCTAGGAGACGGAGACGCGGCCATGGTGGTGGTGGAGGTGGCGGTGGTGGAGGTGGCGGTGGGTTCCGTGGTGATCGATACTAGAGGGATCGATACTAGAGGGCCTCCCTACCTGTTAGCCAGTCCTCTGTCTTTCGCCCGGTGTCTTACAAGGAGGAAAAAGAAAAAAAGAACAAAGGAGCGGCGTCTGGGACGCTCGGCAGTTAATTTGTTCCATTACAGACAGTAATGTGGTTCACAGAAGTCGCCTTTTTGATGGTCTTCCTGGCATGTGCATGAAGCAAAAAAAAAGTGCTTTGCGTATGGCCTGCAGGACAGGGGGTCAGCATCGCGGGACGGACCCTGATACACAAGAAATATTCTACACTGTAAAAACATAGAAATGTACGGATAGATAGCAGGATAAGCAGCACATGGAGGGGTTGACGCATCCTTCCAATTGAGGGTGCGAAGGTACCTAGACTAGGCGGCGAAGGCTAAGCGAAGAGCGGAGACTAAGATTACAGTAAAAAGAAGCATTAGTATACAAAGCATTCCACTTGTTCGCATATGTTTTTGGAGAGTCGTATCCGACGAAGAATAACTACTTTCTATTCCAAGATACCTGCTATCTACTATGATGACGCTTATTTGTTTGATCATAGTTTAAACTCAAGACCAGGGAAGACCGGGTGTCACAGAACCAGAGGCTGCTTACCAGTCAATGACACCATGTTCCCCGGCAACCAGTGCTTACACAGCACGCTGTCAACATAACCCCTGAATGTTGAAGGGTACCGAATTAGGGGAGGTACTGGACTGGAAGGCATGCGTCAATCACCAGGAACGGATAGATTACAACGACTGGAAGACGTTTGGACGTGATAGCACATGGGTATGTATCAACCAGATATTGTCCTCTCTGCGCCATATCAGCCTAATGCCGACTAAACTTATCTGATTTCGCCTTTAAAAGTAGTAACCAAAGATATCATATACACCCTAAACCATTATTAACGAGAGGACGTCGCCCAAGAAAGTCCCTTTTACAAAACCCATATCCTTTGTGCTGGAAAGCAATAACCCAAGACCAATGACAAACACCGTTCACTAAGAAAATGCAGACATTCTCGTCGCTTAAGCAGCGTTAGAAAGAGGAGTGGGCTCAACGCCTACACGCTCCTTGCTGAGAATGTCAATCATGAACTGAGTAGGCCTGTTGTCACGGTAGACCTGGGAGTTGCTCTTGAAAAGCTCGACGTTCTCCATGTACTTGTCAAAGAGGTAGGAAGAGTCCATGGGACCACCCTTGGCCTCGGGGTGGAACTGGGTAGAGAAGATGGGGCGGGTCTTGTGCATCATACCCTCGTTGGAGCCGTCGTTAAGGTTGACGAAATACTCCTTGAAGTCGCTAGGGAGGGTGCTGATATCGACGGCGTAACCGTGGTTCTGCGAGGTGATGTGGCACTGACCAGTGGTCAAGTCAAGCGCCGGGATATTGTGGGCACGGTTACCATACTTGAGCTTGATGGTCTTGGCACCAACAGCGAGAGCAAGAAGCTGGTGACCAAGGCAAATACCCATGATGGGAATAGGGGAAGTCTCCATAAGCTTGGCGAGGTTGTAAACAGTCTCCTGGCAGTGGGTGGGATCACCAGGGCCGTTGGAAATGAAGACACCATCGAAGTTGTCGGCAACCTTGTGGATGGGGTAGTTGTAGGGGAAGACGGTGACGGAGGCGCCACGGCTGACCAAGCTGCGAAGGATGTTCTCCTTGACACCGCAGTCGATCAGAGCGACGTGGAACTTGGCGTTGGGGTTGGTAACCACGAAAGGAGCCTTGGTGGACACGCGCTTGACAAGGTTGATCTGGCCAGGGTCGATGAAGCCCTCATCCTCATCGGCGTCGTACTCGTCGCCAATGGAGATCCTGGCGAGAGAGGAACCCTGCTCACGGAGGTAGGTGACAATCGCACGAGTGTCAACACCGGAGATGGCGGGAATGCCCTCGCTGGCGCACCACTCGCCCAAGCTCTGAACAGCAGTCCAGTGGCTGTACTGGGTAGCGACATCGGAGACAACGATACCGGCGCACTGGATGTGGGGGGACTCGAAGTACTTGAGGAGGTTGAACTCGTCACGCTCATTCGAAGGGACACCGTAGTTGCCAATCAAGGGCTGGGTGAAGACCAGAATCTGGCCGCGGTACGAGGGATCGGTCATCGACTCGGGGTAACCAACAAGGGAGGTGGTGAAAACGGCTTCACCAGAAATGTTGGTGTTGGCACCGAAGGCGGTACCCTGGAAAACGGGGCCATCCTGAACGAGAACATGTTAGGTTTAGCCACGAGAGAAGACTAGTTGTAGGTACGCACCCTGATAGTGAAGGTGGCCTCGGCGCCGGTGGCAGCGGCAGTAGTGCGCGGCTCACGGGCGGGCATGTTCCTGCCCTTGCTGCCGGTAATGGCGGGCTGGCTCAGGTTGCGAACCTGACGGGCGGCAACGCCATTGAGGGCAGAAGCCTTGGGGAGACGAGCGGCCAAGCGAGAGAACATCTTGACTTGAATGATGGGGTGCGGTGGTGATTGGTACGGCTGCTGGGTGATGAGAGGCTCTTATGCGTTAAGGGCTCTCCACAGATGGTCTGTAACACACAAAATTCATCGTCAGTATTCCTGCTGGAAAACAGTGAGTCAACGGGAGTCGGCGGAGATGCGGACCTGAGAGATAATCCTAGAAAGGCAACAGAATTAGTTTTGATCAAACACTACAAACAGACGGCAAGCGGCAGAAGCGAGGAGAAGAAGTCTCCCCCAGGATGGCTGTCTGCGCGATCTTGAGAGATATGCAATCGGGATCCGTGAAGAGCTGAACTGTAGGGATCACTGCTGGCCACATCTCCCAAAACCAACTCAAAGCGGCATGACGCCAAGCACCCAGGTTGGTGGGTTAATGGCGGATCGTCCCAACTACTCCGATACAGCATCGCGAGTCAGGCTGGTATGGGGGCTTCATCGCTCATCCGGGGGAACTTCTTTGATGGACTGGGTGGATGGTGGCTGGATACCAGCACGGTGGAGGGGTTATCGCGTTATCGTACCTGAGAGGTGAAGACTGACGGGCGCCCGTTCATAAGGGCAGATTGCGACAAGACAAGTTCAGCTGAAGAAAAAAGGTTGGACGAAAGAGTCCGAAAGTCGGGGGAAGCGATTGGGGTTATTGTGTGTTTTGTAGATGGGCAAGAGTTGATGACGGAGTGAGTTGTAGTGTAGAAGGGAGAAACTTGGAGATGAAAGAGGGTGCGAAAGTGGGTGAGGCAAATAGAAAAAGGGCGACATTTGATTGGATCTGGTAGAATTTTTTGAGCTTTTTGTCTTTTTTCTGCCGCAGTGACAGGGTCGGCGCCGACCTGATTGGTCCAGGACTCAGTGACTCCCGCTGCTAGCGAGTCCCAAAGGCCGATTTACGGGGACCGAGGGGTGATTGATCGCGGCGTTGGGATGACTGGGGACCTGGACTTCGTTGGGACGCTGCAAGTTCCACATGCCCTTTGACCATCACGGTTGCCACCCCTACTAGTCCCGGAGCCTCACAACTGGAATCACCCATCCGGTGTTCAATATACTACCTACTACTACGTACACTACACATATCGCAACCTATGCCCACAACCCCAGCCACGACATTCACAAACAACGCGACTCCAGCTCGGCATCTCCTGCCCGGGGCACCCCCAACGAATCTCGGAGTTGGAGTGGTCGGGTCCCGCAAAGCCCCCGCAAAGTCCCCGCCTACCTACCGCCGTAGATAAAGATGGTGGATACCCCGCGCTTTCGGTGACTCAAGTTGCGGGGACTTGTACAGTCGCGATTCGCCTCGCTTTCAAGCTTCTGAAGCTCCAAACCCAGGTTGCGCCAGAGCCGACCGTCGTAATCGGCTGCACGAACAACGGAGGCCGCACGCTGACAGAGGAAGGAACAATCAAATATAGCATCTGGATCCAGCATATACTCTCGGCGACAGCACACCAATTGAAGAGAGGCATCGTCACCACCTTAGTCAAGCCACGTAAGTAGCATTTTTGCGGTAGTGGTACCTTACAGCAGCCGAGCACCAGTACGTGGGGGATAACGGGCTCCCACACGTCACATTGCATTTGATACATCGCGTAGCATCTGGATGTTGGGCATTACCACTTCAGACGAATTCAGCTTCCTCGGCCGAACACGCAATATCAAAGCAGAGACCACCAGAACACCTGGCGAGGTTTTCCATCATTGAAAACCGCAAGACAGGACAAGACACAAAACATAGCTCTTCGTACTGTTGCGCTTGACGCGACACATCCTGCGACGAAGTTGGTGTCAATGTGGCCGGCTCAAGCCTCTTTCATCTCAACTGGCCAGCTCGGCGTAGAAGCATGCATGAATAAGCTGAAGCTCCAGGCCCCGGGCCGTCACGGTCCCCATGAGACGTTGTGACGCCCTTACCGGCTATCAGAAGAGCATGTCCGGTTGCGTATCCGCAACACAGCTGTAGGGACGTGAATTTCAATTTTTCTATGCCAAAACAGATGTCTTCGACACAAGATCCTGGAACTCAGTAACTGGTTGGTGTACGACCGGTTTAAAGAGCACCAAGCTCCTTGAGCTTCGAGACCAAGCCATCCACATCCTCCACTTTGCCACCACCCTGTCTCGGGGGAGGCTCTGAACAACACAGTTAGCAAACTTCCATTCAGCTTAAAACGAATTGTAGTCCTTACCGGTGACCTTGATAGTCTTGAGCCTCTTCTCGGCCGTAATACCGTAATCCGCCAGCGTCTTCTTCTCGAGCGGCTTCTTCTTGGCCTTCATGATGTTGGGCAAGCTCGCGTACCGGGGCTCGTTGAGGCGCAAGTCGGTCGTGATGACCATGGGCAGCTTGGCCTTGAGCGTCTCGACACCGCCATCCACCTCCCTCGTCACCTGCACGGAATCGCCGCCGGTGAACTCGATCTTGCTCGCCTGGGTGGCCTGCGCCCAGCCCAGCAGACCGGCCAGCATCTGGCCCGTCTGGCCGGCGTCGTCGTCGATGCTCTGCTTGCCCAGGATCACCAGGTTGCTCTTGTTCTGTTCGGTGGCGGCCTTGAGCAGTTTGGCGACGCCCAACGGCTCGAGGTCCTCGCCCTCCTTGGTCTCGACGTGGATGGCCCGGTCGGCGCCCATGGCCATGGCGGTGCGCAGGATGTCCTGGGCCTTGGTCGGCCCGGCGCTGATGACGCAAATGTCCTCGACAGGGGTCTTCTTCCCCTCGCGGATGCGCACGCTCTCTTCGACCGATAGCTCGTCGAAGGGGTTCATGCTGTGCTTGACACCGGCTGTCTCGACGCCCGTCTGGGCCTTGTTGACTCGCGGCTTGACCTGTATTGATTGGGAAGAGTATCCACATCAGTCATCTGTATTTGGGTAGGTATAACAGCATACCATGTAAATGTGCAGCAGGGACTCCATATCAAAAGTGTTGTATGATGTGTGAACACCCGTTATGTTGTTGCCCTTGACTAGGTGGTAAAAAGGATGGAAGACATACCGCATAGTCAATAACCCGCTTGACGGGCACCAATATCCGTAGGGCTGACATTGTTTTGTGGTATCTGGGGAAAAAGGGTGGGATGAGAGCGGGTGGACTCAATGGCTTGAGCTCTGGTCGCAATCACATCAGTAGGAGGAATGGGGAACGGGGTACGTGAGAATGGGGACGTCAAAGCCGACGGCACGCACACCCATCCCATGATGACGAACCGCCGTGTCCATGCAGCTGGTCCCGCCGGCCAGAACCGACCCAACCTCGGTCATACACTAACCCTAACCCCAACCCTGGCATTGTCACCCTTTTGATCATTCCAAAAGGACGATGTCAACATGTGAATGATAACCTTGTCAGCTTACTGCCATGCACTTGGTCTTATTCTTGGTTCAGTGACTCGACGAATATGAGAAATCGTTGTCAAGTTTGATACTGCTTAGAGCAATGAGCCATCACTTGACCTCACCAATTTCTGTAGACACCTCTCTGATCTCAACGACGGGACCTCGCCGTACACTGGATCCTCCGACGCCGGAGTCGATTCGAAATTATCGATTAGTTTACATGTGTACCTACCCTACCCTGACCCTGACCCTTGCATCTCAACACCCCAAGTCGGTCTCACCTTGGACACAACACCGTTGAACCCCTTTGATCAGCCCAAACGACAATGTACATAAAAGACACAAAAAATAGGCTGTAAATGATTTCATTACCACTATTCCACCTCGCTATTCATCCAATGACGCTATGGGTCAACAAGCCATCTACCAGTCATCCCACTCGTCCTTCTTGGAAGCTGCTGAGGGAGGAGCAGTGGAGCTACCGCTGCTTCCACCCTTGCCCATAACTGCTGTCCCGATCGAGCTACCGGCTGGCTTTCTCTGGTCGGCCGCGCTAGAGAAGTCATCCCAAAACGACCTCTTGCTCTCATCAAAGTTGCTGCCACCACCGCCAGAGGGAACTGACCTATAGCCACCACCCGCGGAGTTGGAAGGTCCTCCCTCGACAAACCGGTTGAAACTCTCTGTCGCGGTTTTGGCGCCAGCCTGTGCTACAGTCTGTGCTGAAACGGCGGCTTGCGCTGCCGCAACACGGGCTTTTGCAGCGAGCTCCGATTCGGCTATCTATATTGGGCGGAAGAAGTCCAAATTAGCAAACATGTATCTCGAAAGTGATTCAAGTAGATTTGTCCTGGGCCAATGCCTGACAGAGGGATGGTTTGTTGAGCGGGGGGCCAAGGATACATACCTGCTTAGCTGTAGGCTGGATATAACCCTCATTAACCGTCTTCGCCGTCTGGGTCACTGTCTTGGTAAACCATCCGAACCCTTTACTCAGCGCCGCCACGGGATCCTTTTGCAACTCATCGAGGCCAGGCAAGCTTGCGCCGCCATCATTCTTCGGCTGCGACGACACTGTGTTTCCAAAGCCCTGATACTTTCCTCCCTGGCTAGGCGGCAGATTGTCCGGTCTGCTGGCGTTGGCAGCACCCAGTTTGGCAAAGTACTTGTCGTCCACCTTGATCGTCGTTCCCGGCTTGGGGCTGGCCGTCCTACTGCTCGTGCCGCTCAATGGCACCCCACCAGCCACGCTGCTTGGACTCTGACTTGTCTCCTGCTGCTGCTGCTGCTGGGCCAGTGGCTTCTTCTCTCCAGGCACGTACTCCCTCCCCTCAACCTTGGCACTCAGCCTCTCCTTGTATTCTTCGCCAACATCGCCGCTGTACCGCTCCGCAATCGTCGCATCGTCCCAGCTGATTCCGCGCAACTTGGTGTCGGAGTGGTTCTCGAAAAAGGTGCGCCAGGTGTCATTGCCGCCGAGCCGCATGCGCTCGATTTCAGCCTGCTTGAAGGCGTCCATGGAAACCGAGCGTACGAACGAGATGTGCACACCCAGGCCGCGATGAACGCCCGCGCACGAGAGGCAGATAAAGATGCCGAATTTTGGTGAACACCATTGCGGGCTTGGGGCACCGCAGTCGCAGCAGATGTTGTTGTTGTTCTCCTTCTGCATCGCAGCGAGCTACAAGGGTCACAAGTCAGCTTGGGAGGTTCCAGTTGACCCTTTGCGCCGCCACATCGCTTTTCCCCCTTTGGATCGTGCAGCTAATCTCACAAAGACAGCCGATTGAACGGGTTGGACGCTTTGGGTGGGTTGGTCGTTCACATACCTTGGACTTCGTCTCCGGGTCTATCTCCCACATCCCTTTGGTAGCCATGGTGGGCAACTTGTACGTGCGATTGTGCGCGAACCGACTGGTTTCGTGATTCCTCGCTGGGACGGCCTACTTGAGAACAGAGTCTCGTCGAAGCAAATTGAAATAAGAAGTTCGCCGTCTTTGATTTCCTTGCGCTATGTTGCGTCGCGTGATGTTTCGGATTACAGTAGGGGTTGTCTGGTGGACAATCAGTCAGACAGACAATTAGCGACTAGAATGATGAAGTCGCCCGCGCTATTGCAGGCACCCCCTGCCCTACGCTTCAGCAGTTGGTTTACCTCGGACGGCTACCTTCCTTCGTTTTAGTGGCACCGGAGCGACCAGCCAGGACGGAAACCCGACCCGAAGTGTTGGAAGATCGAGGCATGCTGATCATTCACGTTCCATCTACCCGACGAATTACTACAACTTGAGTTTGGGACTGCATTTTAGATTTGCTAAGATATGATCAGTTACGTGATCAAAGCAACAACCTAACCTAATTGAAATTCACAAGCCAGAAGAGCATTCATCGAGGCCACAGTGCATGGTGCGTGTTCACAAGCCAGCTCGTCCGTCCATCCATCCTTCAGGATCCTACCTTCCATTATGTCGACCATTCATACCTAGAGGTAAGTAGGTACCATGTTTGGTGCGAAGGTCCAGACCTGGCCTTCTCTCATCATTCGTCACGCACTGCGAATAAGGATCAGGGGCGTTTCAGGGGACCGCTTGTTAACGGGGAGCTGCCCCTCTCTGGCCTGCAGGAACATCTGCAACTGTCCGTCCCCAACTTTGTCACAACCACCCACCAAGGCACGCAAGGCACGGGCAGTGGATCCATTCCCTCCAACACTACTTCTGCGCCTTACAATTAGGTGATTCCCATGTTGAGTATGACTGGACACGTATTTATCACAAACCACTTTACCCGTTGGCGTTCCCATTGAGCATGACATATCAATGTCTTCTTGTCCCAATCATGCTTATTTTCCTATTCCTAGACCGATTTGACTGACCATCTCCTGCAAACATGAGCGTTTGAAAACACTAGATAAATGTAAGCGACCCTGAGATAAAAGATGATCCATAACACACAAATGAAGAAGAGAAGTCATAAAAATATTAGATTTTTGTTGCCTGCAAAGAGCCGCAGGATAACGATGCCTGAAGTCTACCAGCGATTTGAGGCCTTTGCAACCCCCATAACCCGTGACGCCAGACATGATCACATTATCCCACCGCCCAATCTTCCCGCTTTCATACCCACTTGCAGATCCCGCCATAAAAAGAAAATCATTCGTTCCGTGCCAAAATCGTGAGGGTAAAAATGCATGCGCCCAGTAAAACATAAGACATGTGTCGGTCGAGATTAAAGTAGTGTCTGTGACCGAAATCTTTATTAACTTGTGCGCACACTCATATCGTCATCAAATGGAGTGTTTAAGCAGAGGCAGTGACAGCAGCGCCAGCCTGCTCGGTAGTGCCGTTGGTGGGGGCCTGGGTCTGGGCCTCGCCCTCGGGTTCGTTGGCCTCCTCGTCGGTCTTGTCGGGGCTATCGATGGCGACCTTGACAGCGATCTCGCGGCCCTCGATCTCCTTGCCGTTCATCTCAGCAACAGCCTTCTGCTGGAGCTCCTCCGAGGCAAGGGTAACGAAGCCGAAGCCACGGCCCTTGCGGGGCTCACCCCGGGCCTGAAGCTTCTTAATCATGAAGCGGGGGATGGGGCGAAGAGCAATCTTCGCGGAGGAAGGCTGGTAGGCAGCAAAAAGTTCCTTAAGCTGTGGAAAGAGTTAGCATGTCTCCAGTCATGGCAGATGTCGGCAGAAAAACTCACCTTCTCCTCGGTCAGGTCGTAGGGGAGGTTGGCGACCATAACCTTGGTCTTGGAAGGAATACCGTCAGCCGGGGGGCCGCGCTCGCGGCGCTCACGGGGAGAGCGGTTGTGGGGCTTGCTGGCCTTGTTGTCGCTGTTGTGAGTCTCGTTGGTGATGTCCTTCAGAGCCTCGGTAGCAGGGGAAGTGGAGCCCTCGGCACCCTCCTCCTTCTTCTCGCCCTAGGTCGGTATGTCAGTTTCTCTATCCACTTCACAGATGGAGATGTGATGGGGAACTTACACGATCGCCACGAGCGCGTCCGCCACGGCCACGACCGGCGCGACCGCGGCCACGAGTGGACTGGCGGCGGCGAGTGCCCTCATGGCCCTCACCGTTGGCACCCTCGGCCTTCTCGTTAGACTCGGGCTTGCGAGCGAGCTGGACGGAGACCTTGCGCTCGAGGATCTCCTTGCCGGAGAGCTCAGCGATGGCACGCTCAGCCTCGCTAGGGGTAGAGAGGTCGACGAAGGCGTAGCCGACGGGGCGGTCGGTGCGAGGGTTCTTGGGAATGGAAACAGACTCACTACGCGCAACGAAACTGGTTAGTAACGGACGAGCACACGCAACACGGAACCAAGAAACCCGAATGTTAACCCCACCCTACGGCCCTGCAAGCGGCCCTGCAAGCGGCCCACTCTCACAGCCAGAGGAGCGAGGTGGATGACGTGACGTCAAAGGGCCAAGAAGCCTAAACAAGGCAACATGATGGAAACGGGAAGGGTGATATGAGGTTTGTGGCGGGCAACTGCTTCCAGCCGCGCAAATACAATCCGAACAAGGCGGGGAAGCGGGATGCAGGGAAACAATGCAAAGGCGGTGAGAGGACAAGGGCAGACAACGACAAAGGGAAAAAGGGTAGGCGGGACGAGCCAAACTTACACAAGGTAGCCCTTGAAGAATTCTTTCAACTCCCCCTCCGTTGTCGCATAGGCAAGATTGCCGATGTAGAGGCGGCGACCTTCGGCAGCGCTGGCAAGGACAGCATCGTTGGCGGCGGGCTTCTCGTCAGCGGACTTGTTGCCAGTCAGAGAGGTGTTGGCCAGAGCGTTGGTAACGTCGTTGACGGCGGCGGCAGCAGCGTCAGTGATTTTCTCCACGACAGCAGACATGGTGATTGATTGTGATGTCGAAAGTTGACTTGGATGGAGTAGGTGATCCACAGGAGGTGACGTGAGCGTTGGACTCGTTTGGATAGGGAGATGAGCGCCTGGGTTGTTGTAAGGACGTTCACGGACGAGAAAGGTTGAACTCTGGGTCTGAGGGGGAGTCAGAAGGGTAGCTTGGTGCCCTAGATAGCTTGAGGGGGGGGTTGGTTGAAGGTGGTTTGAGCGGACTTCAGATTGCTTGGATGGTTGACGGGAAGAAGAGAGGAAGAAAAAGGAAAGGATCAGGTGTTGGTGAGTCGGCGCGCTCCAAATTTCAAATATTTTTTGCTACCGTTCGGGGAATTAAACGAAAGGCAGGCGTGGCGGCTTTGGCCCAGGGTACGTCCGGTACGTCCCCATAGTACCTACCCTCCACCTGGAGGCAAGGCAAGTTCCAGCTTCCAGTTGTCACTTTTACGCTTCCCAATCGCCGAGGTGGACATCTGGATGGAACGGACGAGTGCCAACTGGGGTAGGCAGCACTGCATGTACCTACCACCCAGCCTGGCCAGTGCCGTGTGGGCAGGTGCAAGCAGCCCGTCCAGAACAGTGCCCCCAGGGTCCGGGTCTTTCAACAACCTGGAAGCCAAACTTCGGGCTTTCAGGCTCAGCCCGTCCGCTCGGGTGTGTGTTTTATACCACCTCTCGGTACCTACCTCTATGTACAACCCCTCCGAACGCACCTTCACTGAACAGAGGGCCGAACCGGACACAGTTACACCTAACCGCATGAACTGAGGTGCAGCAACCGCACCTCAGCAAGCGTCAAGCGCTGCCCGCTGAAATGAAGGGAGGCGCGGACATAAACCACTGAACATTCGCAAGTGGCAACGACTCAGGGATACGCCATCATCGTCGCAAACGCCAAGGTCTGTCCGCTTGTCCTGCCATTGGGGATCCACCGAAGGGGAAAGGAGCGTGGAGAAGCTCAAGCAACAGGGAAGCACAGTGCGGCGCAGTCAATGCGATGAGGCCAGCATCGATGTGCATCATGGGAGCGGTTCCATGTAAGGTTGGTGATAGAGTCTATCGACTTGAACTTACCTAGGTAAACTTGTCAGAAAGACAGGTACGACGTCGAGTCTTCCACTTGGAGATTTTCCAGTTGTGTCTTGGCCTGGCGGATTCGGAGTCTTCGAGCGCGTTCCGAGTCGATCTTTCCGGGGAAGGCAGTACCGGGTTGTTGCGAAGGCTCTCAACTGTCAAAGAGGTGAAAGAACGAACAAGTCTGTCGTGGAACAATTGCTGCTTTCTTTTATAGCTGAGCAACTGCTCGTTCTTTCCCTTCACAAGTTTCTGCCATCTCAAGTGACCTGCGCCATTCACCAGCAGCCTTGCTCACCTACGATCTTTACATAGGTATGTCTCCTTACCTACAAATTCTTTAGAAGAACGAAGTGATTCGATCTCGATCGTACGTTGAAGATGGAATCAGGTGAGCGTTTGAGAACGCGACCGACTATTGCCCCAGATCGAAATGTATGTCTATACAATCAATACAGGAACGAACTGACACATACTTCACCCGGGCGAGGCTATGAGATGGCCTTGCTCTTGTTTTTCAAACAAATGAAGCAAGTGACACTGACTCCACGAACGGTAAAAGAGGTCGACTATATTGTAGTGACATATCGGGCTACAGTTCCCGGTCGGCTACAAAACGTACTGCATCTTTTCGCGCTCTTTAGAAGCCGACCATCAGAATGTGAGTAAAATCCGACGATTACTTAGCTCTTTCGCATTGTCGAGTTGGTTGCTGGCGGTGATGCAAACTTATGGAACGTGAATGGTACTAAGTACTAGGTACGTACTCTCCAGTCGTCCCGTTTTACCGTGTGCGACACTGTGTCGATTTCCACTGCAGTCCTATCAACTTTCAACTCCACCTAAGCTTCTTGCCCTTCAGGGATCGAAGCAGCTGTCGTTCGGCCGGGAGGCACTCAGCCGCACAAAGAACGTTTGCGCATGCTTTCTCATTGGCTCCTTGAGATAGGAGTGAGGGCGATATCTGTGATCCAATCCATACTTGGATTCTGACGACGGTGAGGTTTGAAACGTCCTTTGGTGGCTCGCCCGGATTATGACACGCTTCGGCGTCGAAAGTGGCTCCCATTTGGTTGCGGAATGACGTGGATGTGGGCATCCGCTTTCTAGACGCTTCCAGGTTCCTAGCGGATGCTTCGTGCTCCACCGTCAAAAACGGGTTGGGAGCCGTGCCCCAAAAACATCATCACGATCCTCCACATACTAATAGAGGGGGCCGAGGGGTCTCTGTGAACACGAAAAAAAGGGGGGTGGTTTTGGCCAAATACCGACAAGACAGACTACAGTACCAACCCAAGGTGTCGGGTTATGCTGGTATTTCCCCTTGTTCGCACAGGTCTACTTGTCCAGGGTTTATTCATGCGTCTAGTGTATGGCTGCTTAGGTGCGGAGGCTTCAAGTCATCCCCAGGCTGTCTTTAGGCTTACGCTTGCAAGAGGCAGGACCCCTAAATCACTATGCAGGACAAATAGGAGATGAGAAGAAATGGAAAGGGACTTGACGGTTCACCGCCTATGCATCGGGGAAGCTAAGTGCTGTCTGAATGTTACGTTAACTGGGCGTTATAAAACGCGTGGATAGGGATGGCATCACAAATGAGGAAGTTGATGTTGTTGAAGCTCAAGGTTGGCAAGGGTGGGCGGGCGGTCGGTGAAAGCTGTTCCTGGGGTTATCTTTTGAGGTTTGAAACAGGCCGAAACTGGCAGTCCGTGCTAGGTGAAAGGCCTCCTAGGTAGGTAAGGTAGCCAGGCCTCCGTACTAGTCCCCGTAGCTCTCAACTGGACAGTGAGAGGTATTTGTACATGCTGGAGGATACCTGCATTATACACCTACCTAGTAGGTAGGTACTGTAGCGTTGCCAGAACTGAACGTCTCGTTTCATGTTCAGAGCAGACTTCAAGTCGAGAGAACTGGCGGAAACTTGTCACTTGAACCATTCACTGTCCTTCCCGTCGTGCCCTGGTTTTACCCTGCTCCAGGTTTTGGTGGGGGCCGAGATCGGGGCGCCACCTGCGGCCTCCGATAAGTAGTGTAGCCTGCTGTGAAATGCTTCCTTGATACACCAGTGACGACCTTCCCGCCCCACTATCAACTACAATAATTTGCCCATCGACCCAGGCGTCCAGTAAAGTTCGCGAGCAATTGCCCATCTACGCAGAAAGACTTGGTCTATCCGAAAGCGCCCCAGCTTCACGGGTGACGTACCCAGGCCTCCGAATCGAGGCAGTCAGTTGCGCACGGGTGGTTCAAGACAATCCACGGGCCGGCGGAGAGAGAGTCCCAGACCAGACCTAGGTTCAAGAGAGCTCGTCGCCCGTCTGTACCCGTGCTTTTCCATCTTCAACACCTCTAGCCTTGGATTTCGCCCCAAAGCCAGCTCTCAATCATTTGGGTACCGCTTGCACGATTCCTGATCGAACGAGGCTGGGTAAGGTACCTTTGAATATTGTACCAGGGAGTGGGCGTGTTTGTCCAAGCTGACCACGAATTACAACCTTCCCGAGAAACGAACCTAAACAGTTTCCCTTCAGATAACCCTACGATAACCCAGAAGTGAGAGGTGTCCTTGTAACCCTCCCGGTTGTCCCTAGAGGTACCTCAGCTACAGAAACCCACATAGCAGCTGCAGTTTTTAGGTGGTGAACTTCCCCATATTAGTCATACCTAAACAGGTGGTGTCTCGGATATTTACTATCTACGCTAGGCGGCTGGCTGCGCGGTAAAACTGTTGGAACTCACCACACATCCCTGGCTAACAGCCTGCAACACTTGCCGGAACAACGCAGGCAGCACCTAATCTTGTTGAAGAGAAGACCATGGGGGAACCCGTGTTGGCAGCTTCGGTTGCGAAGCCGACCACGATGGAGGGAAGGAATCTCATCCTCCTCTATGGATCTGAAACAGGTAATGGAGAGGAAATCGCCATGGAGCTGGCCAAAATGGCGGAGAGATTACACTTCAATACTGTTGTTGGTGAAATGGATGACTTCAAGTTGGTGCGTTTCGCTGTGCTTTGATCAATGCATCCCATATGCTGATGTTCTCGCTAGACGGACTTGTTGCGCTACTCTTTGGCCATCTTTGTCACCTCTACCACGGGCCAGGGTGATATGCCAAAGAACACAACCACGTTGTGGAAAAGCCTTAGACGTACCAAGCTCAACAATACCAACTGCCTTGCATCTGTAAAGTTCTCCATCTTCGGACTTGGTGATAGCTCTTATCCAAAGTAAGATCACGCTCGTTATCTTCGGACACTCGGAATAAGCGGCACCAGTCATGGCATGAAACCATTATGGTGTTGGGGACTGACTTCTTACTCTTTTAGGTTTAACTGGGCAGCGCGGAAGCTTCGTGTGCGACTTTTGCAACTTGGTGCTTCCGAATTCTTCAGACCGGGCGAAGCCGACGAGCGACATGAAAATGGGCGAGTGAAATTCGAAATCCTCTCCTTGGTCGGCCATCCAGATTATGGCTCTATATAGCTAACACACAACTCGGATTACAGACTCGACAGCATCTATTTGCCCTGGTACCAGGAGTTGAGAGAGTCATTGTTATCTCAATTCCCTCTTCCAAAGGGCATTGAGCCCATACCAGACGACGCTCAACTTCCACCCAAGTACAACATCCGGCTTGTGCCGTCAACCGGCTCAGTCAAGGACAAAATAACGAACGGCGAAGGCCATGTCTCGCAAGTCGAGGACAACGAGCAGTTAGCGGCCAAATTCGAGCGGATGAGTACCGACTCGGAATCAACTGAGGCCCCGTGGCAGAAGGATGGTACTGACGTCCCAGATTTTCCGCCAGCGAAATTGCTGCCAATACCTGGTTCTTTCACGGCGCAAGTTGTTTGCAACAAGAGGGTGACTCCAGAAGACCATTGGCAAGACGTCCGACACATCGAATTTGAACTCCGCAGTCCAGGACGCAATGGGGCCATGTCCTTTGCCGGTCAAACACTCTTAATCTACCCTAAGAACTATCCCAAGGACGTACAAAAGCTGATTGACTTGATGGGGTGGAGTGACGTGGCCGAGCAGAGAATCGAAATTGACTGGGCGAAGGGCACTCGGCCAAGAGACTATCATTTCTTGAAGGATGCAACAATTCGCGATGCCCTGACGCACAATTTCGACATCAGCGCCGTCCCCAAACGGACATTCCTCGAGTTCATGGCCTACCACACCACCAACCCTCTCGAGAAGGAACGTCTTCACGAGCTCACCCAGCGAGGTGACAGCGACGAGTTCTACGATTACACCTCTCGCCCGCGTCGAACCATCCTCGAGGTCCTCGAGGATTTCCCCGGCGTCAAGATCCCCTATACTCGACTGCTCGAGTTTCCCATCATCCGCCCCCGCGAGTTCAGCCTCTGCAATGGTGGCGATCCCACCGTCAACGCCAAGGATCTGGTCATCTCCAACGAACAAGACACTACTACTAGCACCGATGTTTACAAATTCGAAATCCTTGCCGCCCTGGTCCATTACCGTACCATCATCCGCAAACCCCGCCAAGGCCTCTGCTCACGCTATCTCCGCCACCTCCCCGTCGGGACCACCGTCCAAATCGGCATCAAGCCGCCCAGCAGTCCCTTCTCCATGGACGACCCGTCCTTCTACTCGCGACCGCTCATCGGCGTCGCCACGGGGACTGGCATCGCTCCGTTTCGCGCTTTGCTTCAGGACCGTTGTCTCGTCCAAGACCAGCAACAGCTGGGCCCAACCCTCCTCTTCTTCGGCTGCCGCAACGCTGCAGCCGATTTCCACTTCCAGGAGGAATGGGGGACTGTCCCCAATCTAACCGTTTACCCCGCATTCTCCCGGGACAACGACTCGTCCTCTACCGAAGAAGAAACCAAACTTGCCCTCCAACGGGCAGCAGGCATCTACGACGCAGGCAAGAACTACGTCCAGTACCAAATTCGACAGCATGCCGCCAAGGTTGGTGAGTTGTTGAGGCAAAATCCCATCATTGTCGTCTGCGGAAATAGTGGGAGGATGCCCAAGAGCGTGAGGGAGGCGTTGGAGGATGCGGCGGTTGGAAGTGGGGTGGTGGCGGATAGGGAGGAGGCGAAGGGGTGGTTTGATCGGAAGGAGAATTGTGTCTATTGGCAGGAGACTTGGTAGGTTTGAGAATTGCTGTGTTTGGTGGTTGGCTGGTTGTTTGAGGTTTGGTATGGGATGACATGGGGGAGGTGAGCGCGGAATGGGATGGGAACCCAAAGCGGAGGAGGATGAAGAGGAAAGGACGAAAGCATGGAAAAGGCGGAGAAAGGAGAGCGGATGAGATGAAGCATAGAGCGAAGACGGCTTTTCAAAAGGGGTGGTTGGATTGGTTTAGAGTTATGCACATTCAAACCAAGGCTGGAGAGGTACAAGTAGAAAACTAAGCCTGGTTTTTCATCTGAAGTGCTCGCGACCTCGAGAACATCTTATCACATCACGTCATCAGTGAAAGGATGGAAAACCCCATCGATTTGATCGAGGTTCGCATTTTGCAATGGTAGGTAATTCGAGAATTTTTTTTTTTTTTTAAACGCTAATCTGGTCATCGTTCAACTCTGTCCTCGCACTCTTTCTTGTGCGTCAAAACAATCCAGTCCCCCAAAACCATCCCTTTCAGCGTATGTTTTTTTCCTCTCTTGTATCATATCTGATAAGCATGTCCCGTCACCAGCCTCATGGTGGAGACCATGAGTCTTATTTATGTGACTGTTGCTCCTTGCTCTATCCTAACTCAATGTTTCCAGCTTGAACAAAAACCAAACGTAACCCACCAAAGCAACGCCAAATCTTTCCTTTCGTTAAACAAAACAATAGGACATCGTCGCAAATCCTTCGACGCCCCCTCACTCCAATGGGTATATCCCCCTGTCTCCGTGCCCCTGTGTTCCGTTACCCAGAAACTCCGCCGTTCGGCATGTATATACGATGGTACAGTGAATGAACTTGTTGAAAATGATTGTTGGTCGGAGCGCGTCTGGTGTATGTATGTAATTTTGTTAACAAACCATGTTAGTTTTGTGGATGGAGATCGAAGCTGATGTAAAAGGTCATCAAGTCTCCGCCTCCCAACTATATCGCTGCGCAGCAACCTGCGGAACATGAATTAACTCCGAACCGGCTTCGATACGTTCCATGCTTCGGGGACTGCGGGGGAAGTTGTCGATGAGGCTGGTAGTATCATCTGTTTCTTGTTCTCGTCGTTGTGGTTGTGATTGTTGTTGTTGTGGTGGTGGTGATGGTGGTTGTGGTTGATGTGATGTTGGTGATATCGGCAATGCTTGCTCTTGAGCCGCCGCACTTCGCTGCGCAGCCATCTGCACCTGCCTCAACCGGCTTTCTTCCTCCATGGTAAAGTTGGAACCCAAGGTCTCATTAGAACCGCGGGTTATCGAATCTGAACGTCTCCGGAAACCATCGACATCGACATCAACATTTCCTGCAAGTTGGTCGTTTTGTTCCACTGGATGTAGTCGACCGTCGGGCGTGATAATGTGGGTTACTGTCGGGTGATGATGCAGATGATGTGGAATAGGAAGTCGCACGTTTTCCGGCATTGGTCCGAGACAAACTATTTGGGTATGGATGGGATCGATGGGTGTGCGCTGGATAGCTGCGCTTCCGGGCAGTGGGGCCGGTCTACCGGTTGGCGACGTAGGGGATTCTGGACCGCCGTTGAAGTCGGATGAAGGGCTCACGGGTGATGGAAGGTATGTGTGAGGCGAATAGGGGAAGTGCAACGAAACTGGTGAGTGTGCGGGGGCCGGATCGTCAGAACCTGTCGTCGTTGGAAAATGACGTAGCCGCAGGGGAGAGGCTACGGTTATTGGTGATGGCAGATCGAATACTCTACCGGCCGCCCAGTCTGCGTATGGTGACAGGGGTGATGGCAGCGAGTTGGGAAGGGAGTCGGTGTTGGCGTACGTGGGCGATGATCCAGAGGATGTTTCTTCGCTGGGACGGTTATGAACGAGGGTTACATCCTGTGCTAACTTCTCAAGGGGATATTGCTCTGTTGTCCGTGTGTAGGTTGGTACCGGTCCCTGAAGTTGGCGTTCGAGCTTTTGCCGCGCCGCCTCATAGTCGCTCGTCACCCGAGAACCATCCAGCCCCATGTTTGGGTCGTTGTTTCCGATGTCATTATTATCCAACTCGATCGGCTCAGGTGGAACTGGTAGTTCGAATACCTGATGATGAGCGTCCGCACTGACTTCGACGGGTTCGGTCATAATCGCCTGCGATTTTTGTGATGATTGTTTCCTTGACCTCCTCCTTCCAACAAACATCGACAGCATTCGGCTGACCGGGTTCTGCGTTGGTTCATCGTGTATGGGGGTAACCTCCTCTGAGTTGTGTTCCAGTTTACGGGCCTGGTTTTTCTTCACCTTCGATCCTCGCCGGCAACACAAGAACGATATCAGTCCAATCACACTGCCTGCCGCAAAAGCACTAACCACGATCGCCACCGTTTGTCCCACACCCAACGGCTTCTTGGCCACCTCCTTCACCGGGGGGCCCTCAGGATAAGGACTATTCGGAGGCCTTTCGATAGCCTGTAAGGAGTGATTGGTGGCGGAGTTGTCAGGAAACAGTGCTTGATGAATAGAAAATGCGGCCTTGTCGTACTTTGTGATGATATATGCTTCCTGCATAAATACTCGGCCGATGATATACTGATTATTGTTTGTTTCGTTTGTTGATCGCGTCAAAGGGAAATACGGTATGCTCGATTCATTGAACTTGATGATATTCTTCCAAGGATAACGCAGGACCTGTGCAAATGCTGCAGGAGGGATGGTGATGTTGACCACTCCCGGCATGTTGAGGGGGTAACCGAAGTTGTCGCTGTTGTCGTAGCTGGAGACGGTAAAAGTGAACGATAGTTCATCGATGGATTTCATGCGCTTGTATCTCAGATATTGTTCTCCTCCATTCGCAAAGACATAAACACCAAGGTCCGCCCTCCATGCCAGGTCGAGAATAGAAGCAATACGTTCGCAAATGTCGGTTGGAAGCCATAGAAACGGCGTTGACGAGTCAATCATTGCGGTAATAGAATCATTCATGGCGACGAGAGTCTGAGAGGTCGATGTCCAATTTCCAGGTGCCTTGTCCAACGACGGGACTTGAGCAGTAAGGCCGCGAAGTCGTACCGTGGGCGCTCGGTCATTAGAATCTGCGGTTGAGTTTCCTATGTAGAGCCTGAACGTTGTATCATGTGGCACAAATCTCAATGTATCATAACCCCCAAGAGTCAACGAGGCATGTGTACCCTTTGCTAGATAAAATCAGTTCTGATCGCTCAAAGTGTTGGAGGTAAAACAATCATAAGCCTCAACTACTTACTAGTAGTGTCACGGTAGTACGCCCCTGCCGTATATCCGTAGCTGTGACTAGGAATCATGCCATTCACTTCGACGAGTTGGGGAATGAGAGGTTTGGTAACGTTCGAGCCTATACTGCCTTGAGTCACTCCAAGTCCGATATAACCTTGATAGTATTCGGTAGCATTGACAGCAGCAATCAGTACACCGTCAACGGAGGTGGCGGAGCTGGCCATTGTGTCGACGAAGGCGACAGTATCCAAGCCATAGTCGCCATTTCTCTGAACTCCGGTGTGGTTCATACCCAGCTCGTAAGCACCTGCTCCCAAGGTTTGCCATGTCTCCGAGATGTGGTGGTCAAAGACGCCGCCACGAGCGTCCACGCATGGTAGGTTACCTGGGCCTGATGTGCAACCGCCGGCCCCAATAACCCACGTCTCGGACAGGACAGTGGCAGGTGTGAGGTAAACGATCTGAGCGGGAGAACCCACGGCGAACATGAAGTTTGACCAGGTGCCGTCGATGCCATACCATTCCCCGGATGGTTGAACCCATACTGGTTCTGGTGATGAAGTTGCCGTTGTACCTGCACGGACAAGTGAAGGCACCGATGACAGGAGCAGGAAGCGAGTAGGAATCACGGCGAAAGAGAGGTAGGGTAACCGCATTTTCGCAGTAGCGCGACCCGAGTTGGCGTTGTCGTAGACGGACAGACAGCCGGACTAGGGACGCAAGCGTCCAAGGCTATGTCTGTCACCAGAAGTACCGGAACGACCAGCAGCAAGAGGGAAGCGAAGGTCGAAGTCGGGGTCCTAAGACATGGAGAAGGACGAGCTGGTATTCCATGAGCCGCGATCAAGCTCCGGTCCGATCCACGCCTGTGCCCTATACAGATTCAAGAAGCCGTAACACTCAGTCGAGGAGTGGAAGCTGTCGTACTACCTATGTAAGGCAGGTTGGTTCTGTCCCCGGATGAAAATACTCCTTGTTTCCAGTGTCCCAAGAGGGTAAAGCCCATTCGTTCCACAGGCCCGGTGTGAAAGTACCTTGGAAGGCGTTCGTCTTTCTGTCCGAGTGCGAGCGGGTTGACTGGTAGCCGGACAGGAACCCGGACTGGACTGGACTGGACCTGGAACTGGACCAAAAAGGATGAAAACACCCAAAAGCCAGGGACCAATGATGTCGAACAGATGTGCGGGCAACTAGACGAACGATGGTCGAGGTGGTACCAAAAGACGGGACGGGGGGATAATCTGGTACCCAGGGTAGGTAGCGAGCTGTGTGTGTAATGATGGGACGACGGCAAAGACCAGCCGCTCGGATCGAACGCGATGGCTAGGGATAAGAGAGAGCGAGAGAGAGAGAGCGGAAAAGAGCGTGGGCAAGAGAAGGAAGCTGAAGCTTCCGGATGGCGAAGAGGGAAGGATGGTAGATTAAAGTTGTCGGCCTAGGTACGTAGTAGGTGGTGTCAGCTGCGAGACAATGTACGACTACTGAGAGACCACCAAGGGTAACTACAAAGGACGGATTCCAGGTTCCCGGCCTGTCGTGGCACTCTGTTGTACTTGAATACAGGTTGTACAAGACCGTACCGGGAAATGGAATGAGCCTGCCTCCCTTGAGACCGAGAATACTGGACAGAGCAATGTCTTTGCGCAGACGGACGGGTAGGGAAAGAGATGGTCCTACGTTGTACGGCCGCGGGACACTTGTCTGATTCGGAAGGATCAGCGCTTGACAAGTGGACGACGCGGGTCCTGACAGCACCTCAGTCTTCTCGGTTGGCGGGCACGAGGCGGGCTGGAGAGACAAGTCAGAGACACTGGTCGTCCGTCACCGTGGTCAGCAGATAAGCAGAGCAAATACCAAGTGTCCCGAGTTCCTGGCATTCCATTCCACAGTTGTTGGAAGCGAGCAGAGGCCATGACCGGGCATCCAGACATGTCTTTCCCCACCTCTCCCCGTCTTGACTGGTGGTGATGTAGCTTTAACAAGTGGATATCCCAACCTGTCCATTGTTTGCACGTGCTTGTCAAGGGGACAAGAAACATGAAAATATATCTTGATGGCATAATTTAAATTATGCACATGTCGTGAGGCCTCTGTTCGTTTCCGCTCGTTGTCTCTGTTTCGAGATAAACGCATGTCAGTTAGAAGGAAAAGGGTCTCCGAGGTTTTTGAAGGTTGTGCTGTTCAGTTAGTGTAGATGAGCAGTTACCCGAACCTTAGCTCTTACTTGGCCGAAGCTTACATAGCCGGGCCGGCAGGTAACCTACATAGAGGTACCTACATAGTACAAGTAGGAATGACTGGGGCCCAATCACCGGCTGTAACTTAGGTAGGTATTGGTTCCTCCAATCCTCCGATGCCGTGCAGGGCATTTTTTTAAGCCACAATCATCATTCTCAACGGCTTAGTTTCCATGTTGTTTTCTTTTCCCTTTTCTTTTCTCTTTTCTTTCCTTTTTTTTATTTTTTTTTTTTATTTTTTTTTTTTTTTCCTTTCTTTCCACGCGGCCACACATGCAATGCTAGACGTCTCTCTAATTTCATAGTATTCAATGACATGCACAGGACTCGTCCCTCATCACCAGGGACACTGCGAGCAGTCTCCGAAGGCCATCACCACACCGCGATCTCGCAATGCAACCTCCATGCTTCGACAATCATCCAGATGGGACTTGGGCGAACCGCACCTGTCGCTGGCATGCAAGTCCCCTAGGGCAATGGTGCAAGGGAGTGACGAGCATGCCGACCCCGAGCCCCGGTGGCAATGGGATGTGTGATGCCATCTCCGCCAGTTTCCCAGTCACACTTCACCCAACCACACCGGATTTGACTTGTCTTGAAGCTTATCTGCCGAGGCGAGCAAGGCTTGCGAGGATTCCAGAGAAAGGCACCACTAGCGAATGCGCATGTTGACATACTGCCATCGTGGACGACGGGACACTGGCGACTTGTTATACTATAGACATGGACCCTCCATATAAACCACAACCATGTGTACCTCCGCATTGCCATTGCAGGCCTAGCAAAAGTCACATACGTGCCGTCAAACGCGGGGACCACGGCTCCATTGATGCCACCCGGTTGAAACGCAAGTGCCGGTGAAACGGGCTCATGTTCTGGGGTAAAACGAGGAGGGCAGTCGAGTTGCAGAGTTGGCCGTTTGCTCTTGGCTTCACTAGATAGGGGTTCAAGAGACGAACGTGGCCTACCTATTCCCCGACCGCAACCTACATCTCGTGCTCCGGTCTGTGGGAGGCCGTTATGGATGAAGTCAACCCGAACCGGACCCACCAATATGAGGACGACCAATATAGTTCGCCGTCAACAGCGTGAGATCACTTTGGATAAATGCGCGGCTGTGATTTTGCCGAAACTTCCTGTCAAGTAGCCACCCGTACCAGCCCGTGTGGCCTTCGACATAACGGATCTCTCTTGCTTGTCCCACTATACCCAGCACCCTAGCAGTCTATCTTTCGTCCCTTCCCTCATCTGTAAGACATGAGATTGAGGGTATTCGACTACGTTGGCGCGTCTATCATGTGTATCTCGATGGTCAATGACGATACGAACACCGGCGACGTCAAGGCATTCCAACGGCGATCACGAACGTATACGTTCGTCTAATAACTATGGTACAACATCTGAACATCAAGAATCACCAACGGGCTGTCCGGACCTCGCTTGTCGAGTCTTTCCATTGGCTGCCGAACGGGTTTCATGGCTGCAGTCGGAGCGATCTATGCATTCTTGTAGAACGCTCGCAATGCCACCGAGGGTTCAGCTCTCGGCATCTTGCGTCGCTCTACAGCCCAGGCGCCCAGATCATTCAAATAGTAAAGGTTCGAATCTCTATGACGACCTATTAAGGGACAACAAGCATGCGGTGGAAAACCTACAAACAAGTTGAGATGCACACTCCTCGGATTCCTCTCAAGCCTCCAGGTTCAAGGATACCGATTCTGTGGAGGGTCAGCACATGCGTCGTATTTCCTGCCAAGCCAGCACATATGACTCTGTAGCTGTTGATATGCACTACCGTGTATGTCTGAGTATGTTTGGGCACCTTGGCTTGTTGGCAACTTGTCCCAACATCAGTAGTGAGGGTTCCCAATTGCCGGAGATGGCGTTGCTGTTGGATATCGCCTCCCCTCCTCTCCGCGCCCATCCTCAGCGACCACACACTCGTGGCGTAAGATGTCCTCGGCCTGCTGGGAAAAACTCTCACTATTTCGCCGAGGTGCTGGATCTTGAATACATGACGCCTCTGCGTTGGCATGAACACGTCGGATTGCACTGTCGAGTTGCTCAAACAGCTCGTGTCTCCAATCATATCGGCAGCCACCATAGGGACATCTGTTTCATTCATCATGGAGGAGGTAGACGCTTGCGTGATATACCCAAGACGGCCAAAGTCAAACAGCAACAAAAACATGTCTCTTCCAGAGACTGAAGGTATACATCAGATACTTCAGTTTGAATTCACGAAAGGAGCAAAGACATGCGTCTTTTCCTATCTTGCATGCTACTGACAGAAAGACATAGCTAGTGGGATCACATCCTTCTGCTGTAACATCTGAGCCAGGAACGTCTCGGGAGAAGGTTCCATGGTTCTCGCGGCAAAGCTGCTGATCAGCCGAGTGCCTCTACCGCGTAAAATGTAGACGAGTTGCCGTCTTGCATTTACGCCATTCAATGGTACCATCCACCAAGGGATCGCATGCATATCATCGAGCTCTGGCTCTTCCTTATTCCCGCCACGCCCCATCCTGTCCGAGGGGTCTCGCCATTTCCAAGGTAGCACAAAGGTCTTGGTTCGCCTCCTCGCAGATACAGCGAAATCTTGTCAGTGTAGTGTACCATAGCGTATCGTGTTGTAGGATTTCCCACTACCTACGAGGCACCATTAAAAAGCAAAGTAGCTAACGTCGGCGTGATGTTGCTACCCGTCACATTACATACAACGGCTTCATCAGATTCCCCTTATACCCACGCAAGGTAGCTTCCAGATGGACCTCATTGTTTACTTTGCCCAGCTAAAAGAAATTTGGATGAATCCTTTAAGAACAGAACGCCTCGGAGTTTCGATTTGACCAATGGACGACCGTTCCATACTTATGTCTCTACACTATTAGTCTCACTCTGATGGTCGGAAGCGAGGAACTTGGGGACCCCAGATTTTCTCGACGAGTCCTTACGTCGCCTCATTCCGTTGACCCCTTCTCCGGTCTTCCCACATACGTACCTACATACAGCTGCAGTGATGCACGGTATACCATGCCGCGTAGCTCTTCCATTCAGCCCTTCTGGGCATTACACTATGCTTTTTTACTGCACCTAGTTGCTCTCAATTTCCTCCTCTTGGAAAATCCAGTTTCTCCCGGCGTTGTTGGTGCCGGCGTTATTTCAGCTAATAAACATACTAACAGTGCGGCCTGGAACGACAAAAAGTCCTAGACCTAATAGTGTACAAGACGCCCCTTTTTTTTCCCGAGACGATTCACCAGTCACACGGAAATGAAGGAAGGAAAAGGGTCGCGAAGAGGCGGAGAGACGCAATTGGGTTTGGAGTGAGTGAGACCGGCTTCTCTGCCCGTGGCCTGCTGCCCGTACCCGTCTCGTCGACGCAGTATAGTAAGCACTTGCTCTTCCGCTCGAATTAGACAAGACACTATATATCGTGCGCATTTCCCGCTGGGGTTTCCCGTCTCAGACCGTTAGTTCGCTATTCTCTCTTGTCCTTTTTCTTATGCTTTGTGTTAATGAGAACTACCACGGACGGCTCCCCAGCTGTAATTGTCATCCGCCCCTTTCTGACACCATGGCCCCTGCAACTTGATGACACTGAACTCTTCTATGGTTCTTTTGACTCTGATACTGAGGAAAATTGATTTTGAGATTTTCTTGAATTCATGTTGATCAACGACAGTATGGTTATGGGCAAGCGAAAACTGCCTTCGCTCGCATTACTTCTAGGTCTTGGTGTAGACACTGTTCGAGGAGGTAAGCCGTCGTGCGTTCGAGGTTACAACGCTCACCAACATCTCTAACCTGTTCCTCAGGCTATCATCTACTTCGAAATGTCACCGTCAGCAGCAATCCGGAGGCTCATAGTCAGAGCACCACAGTCGGTTCCGGTGAAACACACATCTCACCATCCCCAGTTAGGATTACAGTTGAAGTGACGAATGCCCATCAAACCTCTATTGTGCTTGAGATACAGACGGTGGGACTTGAGAGTAAACACTCTTTGCAACCCAGCCCGCCATATGCCTCGAAATCAGCGATCTCAGCACCGCCAATATCGATAGTGCTAACGGAATCCAATCCATCTTCAGTGGCACCACCGAGGGCTGCATCGACAACTTTTACCATAGTATTGTCTCCATCGCTTACAGATCCCAAAGACGGTCTCAGGACTTCTGTCTCTACGCTCGATTACTCCTCCCGCATCGACGAAGAAGGATCCACCATTACAACCGCCCAATTGCCCTCTACGTCGGACTTTACTTCATCCTCATCCCTAGCTTGGAACTATGAACCGGTTGAGCAAAAGAGCGAGTTACCCGGTCAGACCGATGCGACGCCCACGGTAGGGGCTGTACCGGGTGGGATTGTTATGATTCCTCCTGATATTCCTCCATGGATGGAACAGACAGCGTCATTTTGGGATGATGTCTCTTTGGGTCAGCCACCGGTGGACATACCGACCTCTTGGGACTACGTTCCTACCACTACTACCTCGGATTTCACTTCCACGCAAACCTTCCACGCTCCTTCCACTCGAGGGCAGTTCTGGAATCAGACGTCAGCGCCCTACTACAATCAGCCATCAACATCGATTACCAGGGCCTCGGTTTTTCCAAACACCACGACAACGTTATCATCAAGTACTATCAGCCACTGTCAGCCATCAGATCTGACGGCAACTGTCACAAGTTGGGAAGTTGTGCACACAAGTACCATCACATGGGTCGGCAATCCAGCGAATTACACGCAGCCTTACCCGACGCTTATTCCGCCTTCCGTCGAGACCATCCCGCCGTGTATAGATCTGGTAACGAAAACAACACCACCTCCTGGGATTACATTAACCACCTGCTTTACCGTCACTGCGAGTGGCTCGGGGACAAGATCATGCACATTGACAGTCAGCACCAATAGTTGGGGATACGGTCCTCAGACTTCAACAACTATCAGGTATGCACCCACAGTTACCTTCATCACGACAGACAAGAACCCGGCGGTTCTGTACTCGCCAATCCAGACCCCCAACTATGGCGTAACCAACGACATCACAAAGTCGCCTCGGCCTACAGCTGTGAGCGTTGACTCGGTTGACCCACCAGCGTACAACACGTTCGACAGTAACAACAGCCCGGGCGAGGTAACCAAACCTGTACCCAAACCAGTTACCGTAATAGTGAAGCCTACAGAGGTAATCATTGGCAGTTCCACGATCACCGACAATCCGGCGACCAAGACATATACAGTCGTAGTGGGCGGAGAAACCTTCACGGTTGGACCAACCCAGGTAGTAGGAGGTGGTGCTACCGTGACCAGGCCGTCGGCAAGTAAAGTAGGAGGAGCACGAGGAGCAGGAGCAGGAGATATCATCTACGTCCCCGTACCCACAAGCACCAAACTCAACGACCTGCCCATCATCGTGAGCTCTTCCGTGGCCGTGATCGGTACCGGAAGTTCCACCTTCACCCTGCCCCTTACGCCCACCACAGTCGTCGTCGAAGGCCATACCATCAGCATCGGACCCAGCGGAATTGCCATCATCGACCCCAAAGGCAACCCCATCATTGCGACCGTCACTCTTCCCCCGCCTCGCGAGCAAACTATCACCATTCGCCCCGGCTCCAACAATAATAACAACGAACCCATAACCACCACCGTCGACGGAGTCCCCATCACCATCATTAGCTCCTCCGTGGCCATCATCGGCGCCGGTACCGGCAGCTCCAAATCTACACTCACCTTCCCCGTTTCGGGCTCCTCACCCACCACCATCACCATCGACGATAACGGCAGCCAGCATACCCTCACTCTCGGACCCTCCGGCATCACCCTCACCGCACCCCTTCCCTCCTACGTCATCGCCACAGCATCTTCGGTCATCACGATCCAGACCCTCTCCATGTCTCTCCCTTCAGTGACATCCATTTCTCCACCACCCTCAACAGCAACAGAAGTCGTTGTAGTAGGCGGCTCTCTAGTAACCGCCATTGGCCGGTCTGTGGTGGTCATTTACGGGACTACCATTACTTATACCACTCTCTCCTCCCCTTTGACGACCGTGGTCACCGAAGGGGAGGAGGATACCATTGTCCTCGACCCATTTGCTGGAGTCTTGATCACCCACTATAACTACCCCTTCCCAGGCGCATCAGCAGGAGCAGGAGCAGCAGAGGTGACGGTAACAACCCTAGGCGGCGCGCATGCTGACCCCTCTGCTACCGAATTCGCAGTAGTCGGCGGCGCGACGATTACCAAGGTGGGCGCGTCGGTGGTGGTAGTGGATGGGGTTAGTTATACCGTTGGTCCTTCTGCTACTTTTACTGGAGGTAAGGATGGCACAACAATGACAACGACGATGTTGAGCGGTGGTGGACAGACGGTCACTATTGGGCCGGAAGGGGTGGTGGTGGGGACCATGACGATTGAGTATCCTTTTAATGGAGGTGACGAAGAGGATGGGAGTAGTACGACGGTTATTTTCCCCGGTGGAGGGCCGGAGGCTGCGGGGACGGCGACGGCGACGGCCGATGATGTCTCGGGGTCGGGGTCGGGGTCAGCAAAGGATGAAAATGATGATGAGGATGCTGGTACTTCGCTTGAGGTGGTGTGGAGGGTTATGATGTTGGGGTTGAGTGTGGCGGGGGCGGTTGGGGTGTTTGGGTTGTAATTGTGAGTAAGTTATCCCTTCAATGCTGTTTTATTCTTTCATATCCCGTCTGTCTTCGGTCTGTTTTTCTCTCTCTTCATATCCAGAGTGGTTCAAAAGAAGCGACGTTGTCATCAGTGCTGGGTTGGGTGATAAACACCTAACGATGGCACATTCCGGTGCAAATGGCGAGATGCCTCTTCTTACAGGAAGGACTCTCCCGTATTGTTCTTGTTCGGTTCGGTGTCTGCGGTTTGGGTTTTGTACAGGAGTGAACAAATATGATAGATGTGATGACGACTCTATCAAGGAAGAAAAATCTTTTTTTTCACATGTTCATCGTCAACATAACATATGGTGACTTCCTCGTGATACATGATTGTCCAACTTAAACGACGGGACAAGACGGAACCAGTAATTACTGCACATATTTGACCGTGAGAGGCAATCTGTATGTAATGTCTCATCGCAATGCAGAAACCCCATAACCAAGTAGCTGACAATATATGTGGAAGAAAATGCTGCGCGTGGTCGGGTTCCACCCTCCTATATCTCTAAACAGTAAACAAACACAGATATCTAATCGTCGCATTTCGTAGTCATCATCATCCCGGTTCGTATTGAACCGTCAACTATGTAACTGACTGACTCATTGACACCTAAAACAACAACAAACGGGCTGCTTTCCTTACACTAATTCTACCAAGTAGATCTGAATGCTCCCGCCTTCTTCCCGCTTCCTTCTTCGCCAGTGTGTTCCATCCATCCTTCCATCATACCTCCCGCCCACCACGTAATCATTTCGTTCCATTCATGACATGAGAGTTTCTTTACCTTTGTGTTTGTGTTTTCTTTGTTGATGTTGACTGCTGTGTATCCACTTGTTCGTTGGTTTCGTTCTTGTGCAAGCGCCTCTTTCTTTCTATGCAAACAGACCCCCTAGAACCCGCACATCTATGGTCTTCTTCACCTCGTTCCTTACGACTTCTGGAAGAACCAACTCGATCTCTTATTCTCGGGCGGATTCTGCTGCAGAGTGGCAATGGTGGGGTTTGTAGCCGTGGCACCGGCAACGGCGTCGCCGCCACCGCGGAGCGGCTTAGCGATCCTGCTGCCGATGCTGAACCCGCCGAGGCCGGCGTCGGTGCCGAGGCCCCGCGTGCTACCGGCCTTGGCGGCCTCCAGCCGGTCCTTGACGGCAGCGAGCTGCACCTCAAACCTAGTGCAATAGGAAGACGGAAGGTTAGCGCTGATACTGATGATAATGAGGGCGTGAAGCAATAACAGAGGGGTAAACACGTACTTGTGATTCGCCTGGGCCATCTTCTCCTGGCTTTCCTGAAGCAGGCTCTCGAGACTCTGAATCCGCTCATTTCTCGCCATCAATTTGCGCTCGGCAATCGCCACCTCCTTCTTGAGAGCAGAGTTCTGCTCCACAAGCTGGCGCTGAACCTGCGTCAGTTGTTCGAGGTTGCGCTCGAGGAAAGCCATCTTTTTCTGCTGAGCGCGGTTGTTGCTGCTGCGGAGCACGTTGTTATACTGCTCGCGCGTCTCGTCGAGGGAGATCTCCAATTCGACCACGCGCTCGCAGCGGTTCTGCAGATCGCGCATCAAGCTCTTCTTCATGACGTCGAACTCGGCCAGCTGCTGCTGGACGGTCTTGCCGTTGGCCATGGCAACTCCGGCACCGCCGGCTTTGACACGGCGCTGAAGGTCGTCGACCAAAGCCTTGAGGTGCTCCGTTTCCGAGTTCTTCAGGGCGATATCAGCCTTGAGCTGCTCGACAAGCTCAACCTGGACAGCCGACTTGTCCGAGAGCGACTTGGCAAGGAGGGCCTTGACCTCTTCTTTATCAGCCTCGGTAAGGTTCCGAGACAAGAGCTCCTCGTGCTCTTGCTGAAGAGCCTCAAGACGGGCCTCAAGTTCAGCCCGCTTGCGAGCCTCCGCATCGCTCGAGGCGGCGCTGAAGCTCGACAGTTCAGCTTGACGCACGAAACCCTGGGTCTCCACGAGCTTCTCCCTGAGTGCCTTGATATCCTCAGGAGGAATAGCGTCACCAGCAGAGCTGATCTCAAAGAGGGCATCTAATTGCGCAATCGCATCGGCAACTGCCCGTTCATTATCGCTGAACACGTCACCAGAAAGATCAAAGCCAGCCATCATCTTGGCCATCTTCTCCGCCTTCTTCTTCTCCTTCTCGTCCAACACAGCGCTGGTCTCCTTGGCGCTCATCTTCATATCGAGCATCTGCTGTTTGACCTCGTCAAGCTCGGCCGTGAGCTCCGAGTTGGCATCCTTGAGGCCGTCAATGGTGATTTGGGCCTCCTTGTTCTCGAAAGCCAGCCTCTCCAGTTGCATCTTGAACTCGTTGGACTCGCTAATCAACCTCTCGTTCTCCTTTCCAAGCTTGCTGTCGTGGTCCTTGAGAGCGATGAGCTCTTCCTTTGTCTCTCGCAGTTGTCTCTCGGCAGCCGCCGCGATACTTTCCTTCTCCGCAATCTGGTCTTGCAGCTCGTTCTCGCGACGCAGGAACTCTTCCCGTTCATCCTTATCCAAGGGCAAGCTGGGGGTTCCAGCTCGGTCTGAGATAGCAGGGGTCTCCGCGCGGCTTTCAGGCAGGAGCCGCGACGGTGTCGATGGACGGGCTGTTGTCGAGGCTGATTTCGAAGGGGTGATCGCGAGCTCCAAAGGTGGTACCCATTTCTCCTTGGGCACAGTCTCGCCACCACGCCACACTTGCACTTCGCTTTCCAGGTTGACGATATAATTCTCGAAGGACGTGATCTGGGTCTTGGCCTTGGCAAGCATCTGCTTGAGCTCGGCCGGGCTGAGTTCGGCGTTGACTTTCGCTTTGTTCTTGATCGACTTTGCTCTCATACCGAAACGCAGCGTACTTAATGTTTCGGCATCGTTGTAACTACTGGGTGAACAGTTGATAATGAGTGTTGTTCGACTGTTACCACCCAACGATTCTTGCAGAATACGGGTGAGCTTCGAGTCTCGGTAAGGAACGTGAGAGGATTTGCCGTCTGTCAGGGCATTGATGACCATACCAAGAGCACTCAAACTCTTGTTGATCTTCTTTGCTTCCTCCAGCGTTTGACCACTGGCACCTGTCTTGCCGACTTTTTCGGAACCAGCCAGATCGACCAAGAAAAGCTGACCGCTCTTGGCCGAGCCCGTCTCCACGTTCTTCTGGGTGATGGTGATAACGAAGATGGAATGCGAGCGCGACGACTCCTGGTTCATGTTGGTCGCAGCCACAGCTCTTGCGTTGCCACCCCTGCGCATGACTTCGTATACTTCCTGGACGCTCGAGACGTAGATCTCGAGCAGACCCTTGACGTAGACACCGCGGTTCTTTTCTTCGTGAACTGGCAGGTTGTCGTTCTGAGGCGCCAAAAGATCACGGATCCGCTCCATGTAGATTTCCATATAGCTGACCCGGACGGTATACTCGATGTTTGCTGCGCTAGACAAGATACTGGTAAAGATTTGCTCGACGATTCTTGGAATAACACCTCTGCCATCAGGGTCGTCTATACTGGTACCCATCATGGTGTATGATTTACCGGCACCCGTCTGGCCGTAGGCGAAGACAGTACCGTTGTAGCCATTGAGAATATCGTCGACGGTAGGCTTGATCGAGAAATCGAAGATGTCGGATTGCTTGCATGACATGTCAAACACCCGATCAAAGGTGAAGGAACCCTGCGCTTCTTTCGACTATGGGCAAAAACAGATGGGTTAGCCACTGCGGTGCGACTGCATTCAGGCGCGTGAAGGATGTGGCAAGGCAGGCACAAGGGCATTGTGAGGTGCGAGGACTAGGGGGCAGAAGAAGTTGCTCACATCGACTGTACAGGTATCCGGGCCCTGGAAGGTGACGATGGGCTGGCCGCCGGACTCGATTTCGACCCTGTTCTGGGGCCTAAATCGAGCCACGACCTTGATACTATTCGCACTTGACGACATTATGGCGATTCCCTTGCAGCGCTGGGTAGCGCACTGTCATGAAAGGCGGCGCGGCCGATGTTGTCGGGGAGGATGGGTGGTGGAGTGAGGGGGGGAGGGGGAGATGGACAAGGAGCCCGGCCGCCTGCAGCAGAGAGATAGAGAAGCAGGGTCTCGGTCAGTCGGGGTCCAGGTGTCTCCTCGAGTTGGATCCGGATATCACAAAAGGTGACGAGTTCCGGTTAGGCGCGTGTTCTCGTCGTCGTTTCCCTCCTCCGCGGTCCGTCGTGAGCGGTGGTTGTGGTGTGGTGCAGTTGCGGTGCGGTTCGCGGCTGCGGGTGCGGTGTGAAGAAAGGCAAAAGGTGAAGGTGGGCTTCAATGTGACACACTACTCGCCCGCCGAGGCACGTTGGCGTTTCGTTAGGTAACTGAACCCCTTTGGGCCGCAGCGATGGAAGAAGACAGCAAACCTAAAGCTACCTATGCAGAGCAGAGCAAAGCAAACCTTGAGGGCTAGGCGAAAAGGCGAACGTGTGCAGAATGTGCAAAAAGGGGCTGAAAGGGGTAACCGCAGCTACTGTCGCCGCCGCCGTATGTTCTCGTCGAGATGGAAGGGCAGGAAGGGGTACTCATCACACGTATGGTCGGTACCCAAGGCAATCCAAGGGTCTAGAAGAAACCGAACAAATGTCGAAACGCGATGAAGATAGTGGGGTCTTGTCGGTCAGTGCAGAGTCGCAGCCTGAGACGCAGTCTGAACGGTGCGCAGCCAAGGGCGGGAGGGGTCCTGAAAGCGAACCGCTGCCAATCGTCGCCAGTGGACGGGCGACTCCCGTCGGTTGTGCCTTTCTGCTGCCCCTGTCCCTTTACCTAACAACCGGGGCGGGACGGCACTCGGGGCGGCTGGTGCTGCGAGGCGGACTGCGAGACCAGTACCTTTACTTACCTACCTAGGTACTTACCTCTGCCTCTACCTCCGAGTGTAAGTACCTGCCTGAAGATTGAATGCTCGTTCGGCCAATACTCTTGGGTGCCATGGAGGAGATATTTTCATCAATTGTAGAAATATTTCAAAGCTTCAAACAGGATTGGGGGAGGCTCAGCCCGAGGGTACCTACCTCTAGTGTACATGGAAAACCCCAATCTGAAACCCATTCCCTAGAGGTAATTTGATCGCACGTTTCTAGCGGACCCAAGTGGCACAAGCATACAAGCCAGTATTCTTGGAGATGCCCGCCCCCTTTCCTGCTGTTCAAGTTGCCTATGGCCATTTCTTTGCTCTTTTGGGTGCCTTGAAATCAATTTTCAAGATACCTCTCTACGTCGTCAATTCGAGCTTTCAAGAGGCTACCGCTGTAGAGGTACCTAGCCAAGTTCAGCTACCCACAATATATGACAACCTCACCCCTCATGCAGATCATACGCAAAGCGTCAGTCCTAACAACATGAAATCGTACCTATGCGAGATAGGAGAAGTATTCCAAAAGGGCCTTGTAGAGCTACCTAGAGGTAGGTAAGTCGGACCAGGACGTACCGTAAAGACTTGAGAACCTTGTTTCCGGGTTGCAGGGTCAAAAGTGTTCGGAATTCACGTACACTGTATGCTCTCTGACGGCCGCCAAAAGCATCTGACAGCTCTTTAACCCTGCGTTTTCTGCACAAGCCTGGAAAACGAGCTTCCCAAGTATTTACGATGGAGGTAGTCAGCCTGTCTTTCACTCTCGCAGGGACCCTTGCATTTAAGGAATGCCTGTCAACGTGAGCATGTATCAAACAACGCCGCAATTCGAAATGTGCACGCTAGACTTGACTCTCAGCCTTAGGTATAGGTGATATAAATCATGTGGATCGATGTAAGGCACCAAGCAGGGTCATGTACACTTTTGTCAGAAACAGAGAAAAGCTGAGAAATGCAAGACTCTCTGGAAACTCGTACATCCAAGGCGGCCGACATAAACGGTGAGCTTTTTGCAGTGAAAGACACTATGCCATCTCTTCATCTCTAAGACAAAGGAAAAGAACGCTATCTAGGGCTTTTTGGGGTGAGTTGAGGTATCCAGGGACTGCCCTCGCCAGATATGCTTGTGTTGGTATGATACGAGCGCCTAAACTCCAAACCCGACAACCGCCCTAAAGAGTGAGAAAAACCAAGCACTCCCGCTCTCTCCATTGCAGACAAGCAGGCTGACTCTCAGCCATCAATAGGCGAGAGATGCGGATATTTGAAATACAACAAAAACGCCCCGAAAGAACGACGCCTCCCAAATGCAATGTAATATCACGACATCCGTTCCACCCTCACGCCCTAAAAGGCCAACCCGCCGGGTATCCTCGAGTGTGGATCATCTCGCAACTCGTCGTCGATCGACAACTGACTGTTGATATAGCCAAGAGATCTGTATCGAACAGCCCAGTGAGCAATATCAACACCGACTTGCAGCACCCAGATCAATCATTGGCTTTTTGCCATCGAGGGCCCCGTGGTGATGAGCGTCGTCACTATTCAATCCTCCCAGCTCTTCTCAACAGTTTCCCGGACCCTCTTGTGGTATTCTTTGCGGTTATCCTTGTATAAGTTGGAGGCTTCGACGTTTGCAGGCGATCCTGTGTTCGGGTCATTGAGCAGACTAGTCAAGACAGTTTGGTCAGCAAAATAACACAATGCAAAATAAACGTCAACAAGATATTATGCAGTCGTACCTCTGAATACTGGTAAGAACAGCCGCGACGTCGTACGTAGGACTCCAGCGGTTCTGGAGGATATCGAGACAGAGTTCGCCAGTGGCGTAAACATTGGGGTGGAACATCTCGCTGATGAACTTGACCGAAGGAGGCTTATTGGGATACTGCTCCTCAAAGTGCATCACCAGGCGGAAGGTGCCATCTTCGAAGGGCGTATCGGCGGGTCCGATGATCACGGCGTTCCTATATGGAGACTCATGTCAGTCATTGCCATGCCGGGGGTCGACCGCCCATAACGACACCGCAGCAAAGACCGTTCTCCTTACCATGTCATAACATTGTCGGGTACGGGAGAGGCGGAAACACCAGCGGGAGGATCGGTTTGCATGCGCTGTCGAGGAACATGGTGAGTATATTGTGCTCATGGCGGCCAAATCATCGAGCGGTGTGAACCCAACGGGGTGGCTCATGATGTCTCGCACCTTGAAGTCTCGCATGAGCCGGCGGCGGGCAGCGGTTGACATTTTGGCTTTGGTGATGGATGATGAAGTCGGCCCAGGAGAGAAAGCTACAAGGTTGATGGAGTACGTAGGATCGATGCGATACTTTGTCCAAAGTCGAGATGGGTTTCGTGGTTGGAATAACGAAGAGACAATCAACGAACTGTTTTGAAGGGGCGGAGATGAATGACGGAAACCAGCAGAGCCAACAAGTGAACGCGCATTAACGACCGCTATCTTATCATACCCAACTGATTGCCCGGAGGGGGCGTCACAAAGAAGCTAGGAGAACGCGCGCCGAGGGCAGGGGCAATGAACAGTGACTGCCCCGGTTGGCAATTGCCGCCGGATTGTTAAGTATGTAGCACTTTTCTGATTCTCAGCCAATTACACTTGGGTATGAAGCGACTGGTGGCTCGTGCGCGAGGTGACTGCCAGCTGATGGACCACAGTCACACACCTTCTATCACGCCACCGCCGAATGGTTGTCCAGCCAAACATCTAACTAATCGAACTGACAAATGAATCCAAAGAAAACATCAGAAACTGTGGCATGACAGCCAATTGTCCGGGTTGAATCAGTGATTTGATCAAGCTGTCTCCTGTGGCATCCCCCGGCAGCTGCCCGAAAACACTTCAACGCCGCAATAGGATCGTTGCCTGGAACCAACGCAACACCTCAAATCGCGTTGGGAAGCTCGGCTTTTGTTCCCGCGTGTAAAGTGGTTCGCTTCTGCCCAACATCCAAAGACGCGCGCGGGATGGCAATTGCAGGGACAAGCGCGACTGGGATGGATCATAAGTGATGCGAAACGACTCTTGAGCGTGCAGTGCCCTGGCCTTTTGATCCCTGATTTTATGCGGGCTGTATCCGGTACAGCTATGATGCCGGCGCTGGCAACAGGAGGCTGCGGAAAGAGTGAATGAACTGCTTGGAGAGCGTCCACCCCCGAATCGATCCGTTGACCGTTTCCCCTCCGCTACGGCTTCAACTCTGGCTCCATCTGATGTTTCTCCATCCGCCCGTGGGTACGGCACTCATGGGCTCATGACCCAAGCAGGGCATTCTTCAGTTGTAGTGGATGAGGAGCTTCCCCTGTCTGTCAGCGGCAGGCTCCACGGGAAACCCCGGATACCAAGCTTCTGTGTCCCTTGCGCCCGTTGGGGTCCCCGCGGAGGAACCACGGTGGCGGCCACTGTTTGGCGCTCAATCGGCGGGGTGAAGCATCGCTTTGGTGTGAATCCTCTCCACACATGTACCGTCACAAGCCGACCGGTGCCATCATGGCATCTGACAAGTTCCGAGGAAAAGAAAGCGGGAAGGAGAGGAAGAGACCAGCTATCGCCTCCCCAACTGGTAGTTTTATTAATCATTTTTAAACAATAGAAGAAAGTCTTCCCTGTGATTCTGTCCCTCCTCCCAATTATTTCCTGCTCCTGTCTTTGTGTTGCCTCTCCTGTTGTGCTGTTGTTCATTCCCCGTTCGGCCATCTTCCTTTCTTCCTTCTCGCCAGGTTCCCCTCCGACATCTGCGCTGTGCAGTACCGCCCCTACGTCCTGTAACTCATCGTCACCAGCGTCCGACACTCAAAATGGTTCTTAGCCACGCCAGGACAGCCGCTGGCTCGGCTTCGCGCACTTCCCGTGTCGCTTGCGCTCGTCTTTTTTCCACCCAGTCTGCTCTCCGTCAGCAGATTCAGGATGCCTACATTCTCAGTGGTGTGAGGACACCAACGGCCAAGGTAACGCGCTCCGTAAAAACAGCCATTTCCACAACACAGCGCTTGTGCTAACATCTGCCAGTTCAATGGCTCTTACACCACCGTTCCTGCTCCCAAGCTCGGTGCCGTTGCCATCAAGGAGGCCGTCAAGAGGTCGGGTATCCCCGTTGAGAAGATCACCGATGTCTACATGGGCAACGTCCTCCAGGGGTCTGTTGGCCAGGCACCTGCGCGCCAGGCCGCTATCTTTGCTGGCCTTTCCCCCAACGTAGAGGCCATTACCATCAACAAGGTGTGCGCTTCCGGTCTCAAGGCTGTTGTGTTCGCGGCGCAAAACATCCAGCTTGGCCTCGCGGAGGCCCAGGTCGCTGGTGGTATGGAGAACATGACAAGGACGCCGTACTACGTTCCACGCGCTAGCGGCATGCCCCCCTTCGGTCACATCAAGATGGAGGATGGCATTATCAAGGATGGGCTGACCGACGTCTACAACGAGTTCCACATGGGCAACTGCGCCGAGAACACTGCCAAAAAGTTCCAGATCTCTCGCGAACAGCAGGACGAGTATGCCATCCAGTCGTACAAGCGCGCCCAGGAGGCTTGGGCTTCCGGGAAGTTCGCTGAGGAAGTTGTCCCGGTCACCGTTCCGGGCAAGAAGGGTGACAAGATCATCGAGGTGGATGAAGGCTACAACGACATCAAGCTGGACAAGGTTCCCACCCTCAAGCCTGCCTTCGTCCGTGATGGCACCGGTACCGTGACGGCTGCCAACGCCTCTACCCTCAACGATGGCGCCAGTGCTTTGGTTCTCGGCAACAAGTCGCTCGCGCAAGAGTTCGGCAAGGGCTCAAGGGTCCTTGCCCGTATTGTCAGTTCAGCTGATGCCGCTATGGACCCCATCGACTTCCCTATTGCGCCCTCTAAAGCGGTTGAGCTTGCCCTTAAGCGTGCCGGCATTAGCAAGGACCAGGTTGCCATTTGGGAGTTTAACGAGGCCTTCGCCGCGGTCATCAAGGCCAACGAGAAGATTCTGGGTCTCGAAGGCGCTGTGGTGAACCCTCTTGGTGGCGCAATTGCCCTTGGCCACCCCTTGGGTAGCTCTGGATCCCGCATTCTCGTTACCTTGCTTCATCAGCTCCAGCCTGGCCAGTACGGTGTAGCTGCTATTTGCAATGGTGGAGGTGCGGCCACCGCGATGGTCGTCCAGAGGATCGAGTCGGTATAAACGGGAACATCGAGGAGTTGCGGGTGGGTATTTGATGAATTCTTGTATAAGGATGAAGATTTGCAAAGCTTTGGAGTTGGTTGGGCTTTCTTTCATGGACAAATGGTATGATTCGCTGCCAGAAGCAGGGCCAGTCTGCACATAGTTACAGCTGCATCTTGTTGGGTAAAAGCGACAGAATGTATTTGAAGAAGTAAGGAAACTGCAGTGCCATGTTGAGCTTGATGATCTGGGTAGTAGTGATGTAAATCCACAACTGAGCATAAGTAAAGGTGAACAAATTCAACTCGTGCAACAAAGATCCCAGGCACGCCAGGGTATTCACAGTTATAGCTTTCGGGTTAGGGTTTCAGCGTTCAGTCTGAAGACGGACGCGCATTGAGATCAATGCAGCACAGTGCAAACACACTCACCTTAACTTCACCTTTGAGATCGCGCAGCTTCACCGAAACGGTCTGCACCTTTGTCTTCAACATATCAAACATCGAGCAAGAACTACAACAAGTTATTTATTGCATCATTCGGGATTGCTACTTCAGCGCTAGCTTTTCCACGACTTAAGTCTCAACATATTAGGTCACGACAATACATTACGACGCACCCCGCCATCCATACTTCTACAAGATCACACTGACTTTCGCTCTTGGTGTGTGCCCTGGCGCGGCCGGGCCACGACCTTGGAGGAGGAAGCTGGGTTGAAAGACAACCCGACCGGTCACGAGCGCGTCACCTAGAAAAATACCACAGCTATGAGCCTCATCGCGGAATTTCTGACCAGCATACGCGGGTTCGTACAAACTCAAAATGGTGACGAGCTCCGCAACTGGCTGCTCGTCGAGCCGAATGTTGCTGCACATTATTATGAGCTTGGGCAACAACTGAGGTCAACTTGTCCCCCTAATTCTGACAATATCGAGAAGCTTGTTGAGAAGCATCTGCCAGAAGAAGATGACGTTCCAGAAGGACGAGGCTCGGCGTGGCCTGGCTTCAATTCGTTCATGGAGGAGTATTTGAAGTACTGGCGCGATGTAGACTTCAACGACATCGTCAAACTTTATGGCCGGCTCAGCGACCTGCTCATATCATGTGCAAATGCACTTGCTAATCCAACATATGGCATCATGCTTCTACAAACCAGCATGTCTCTCTCAGAGGCGCTCTCCAAGTTGGTGATGAGCATTACAAAGGAACCTCATCTTATGGCCCAGATCCAGGGCGATATGACTGGCGATGAAGCTGGCGAGAAGAAATCGATCGTCGAGCTTGCCGCAGATATCATTCAAAAGATCTTTACATCGTGCCTCACAGATCGATCAAGTACTCGCTGGTCGCCTCCAAAGGGGAAGAAGATCGCCGTCTATCTGTTTGCAAACTTGACACTGAAATTGCTGTTTGCTGTAAGTCCCATTGCTCGTCCTTCTCGTAAGATGATTTCAGAAAGAAATACTCATGAACATACCCTACTGCAGTGCGACAAGTCAAGACTCGCCGTCCAAATGTTTACCAACCTCTCTACAAGCGGGCCCGCACTCTCCCTATACCCGGCATCACAACGCGTAACCTTTCTATACTATCTTGGCCGCTTCAACTTCGACCATGGCCATTACATGCGTGCCCACTGGTGCTTTGAAGAGGCCTACCGGCAATGCCACCCGCAATTCCTCAAGCATCGCCGACAGATTCTAATCTATTGGGTTCCCTCGAACCTTCTCTTGGGACGTTTTCCCTCACAGATGCTTCTCTCGCGGCCCGAGGCCGCCGGCTTCGGCGACATCTTCATACCAATTTGCGCCGCCATACGGACCGGCAATTTCGTCGCCTTCCACCAGGCCCTCAACGCCAGCAGAGACTGGCTCTGGGACCGCGGCCTCTACCTCACTCTTCTCTACCGTCTCAAACCGCTCGTCTGGCGCTCCTTTACGCGCAAGACGTTCCTGCTCACATGGGAAGGCGCCACCGGAAACGATCCTAACATGATGACCAACCGCGCCCCCGCCCTCTCCCTCGCCGACCTTGTGGTCACCGCCACCTATGTCCAGAAGCTCCTCGAGGGCTACGTCCCCGTTGCCGCTGGCTCCTCCGCTCTCGCTCTCGCCCCTCCCCCAGGCGGACAGCCGAAGCGGCTGATGCCGTCGGAGGGCCTGATCTTTGGAAACAAGCAACCGGATCTCGACAGCATGGAGTCGATCGTCGCGGGCTTGGTCTACGCGGGCCTACTTAATGGGTTCATTGCTCGCCAACAAAAGAAGTTCGCGGTCGAGGGCGCCAAGCGCAAGGGCGGAAACGCGGTGGCGGCCGGTTGGCCGTGCCCGTATGAGAGTATCATGGACCGGTTCAGGGAGGACTACGAGGATGAGCTGGCGGCGGCGGATGCGGGTGAGACGAATGAGCCACCGGGTGAATTCGAAGATGTACCGGGGTGGGTGAAAATGGGTTGATGATGGGGATGTAAGAGGAGGGACTTAAGGTGCTTAAACATGAAGAGGGAGGGACGATTATTGCTCTATTATTTTTTCCTTTGCTTCTTCCTTTGCAATCCTGCTATAGAAAAGCCGACATGACGCTAGACCGTATCAGTAAAGTTGAAGCATCACATTTGTCATATGGACTTTCATAGGCCATACATATGTAATATGATGTTTTTCAACTCGACACTATCCATGAACGTGAATGTTAAGTTGGTTTTGCCTCAGATTGAAAGGTCTGGACCTTGTGGGAATGTGTACTGATAGATACGAAGACGATTGTTATTTTTAGTGCGAGCTCGTATCAATCACTTGATGCAGGGGCTCAGAGCCAACGTGGACCGAGGAGCTGACAACCTTGTCGACTATTACGGACGTGTATGACAGTACCCGCCTTGTGTTCACAAATGTTTCGAGTGGTGTCGGTTGAAGATTTCTTTCTTGCAGTGCCTTTTCTTCGTGTCCATACTACTCCCCTCCCTCTCCTTTTTCTTTAAGGTTAACCTTTTTCCCCTCTCCCAAGCTCCGAATCCAGGCGAGAACAGTCACCTCGTCGTCATCTTCGGCATCGCTCTTTCGTTTCAATCCAAGCTCCAATCTTCAGTAAACCGCCATTATCACCATCTGGTGTATGATTTTTGTCAAGGTTTGGGATTTAAATATTCGTCGTCACGAACATCGTTTGCTCTTTCATTCAGCGTCACATCTCGAATAATATCCAATACCCAACCCATTCCTCCCGAGCACATCGGAAATCGAAACCCTTGGTCTACCGGACTTTCCCAATGCCTCCGGCCACGGAACCTCATCACTGTTCGTGTACTCTTCCTTCTCCCTTTATCACGTTTCGACATCCATCATATAATCAAACCGTGGCCTCCCACCTCACACTTTCCAGCCGCATCCAATTTCCTCCTCACGTGTTGATCACAAACAACACTCAAGGGTCATTTTCAAAAGAAAGAAAAACATATCCAACAAGAAGAAGATATCGCCAAAAAATCGCCACACCCAACGCGCAGACCAGAATGACCAATAGCTTCAATGGGGGTATATCGCCGAACAGAAAAAAAGATATCCTCGTAACAAACATCAATACCGAAATTAAGTCGTCGAATAAAACAATATGTCGCTTGCAGCAGCAAGAACGACTGGTGCAGAGAAGAAGGGCGCAAGATGGCAGCAGCCTTTAGCACGCTGATGGGGCTGCAGAAATAACAATAGACACTAGGTACTAAGCGTGTGTATGGGGTGTAATCTCAAAAAGTATGTGGTTTTTTTTTTTTTTTGTCGGCTTCCGGGTTTTGACGAGTTCTTGCTGACGGGGCGGATGTGGTCGCTTTGGAGAAGTATATCATGTCAGGTCATTGCTATTCGTCGCCGTTTTCCGAAAATCGAAGAAAAGAAGCAAAAGTCAGGTACAATTCGACCGGATGTACCTCGTGTATCGGCCGCGAAATATGGTGAAGAGGATAATTCAACATCGTATACAAAGAAAGCAAAAATCAGCCTCCTGGCAAACACCAGGGACCAGGTTTCGAAAACCGTGTGGAGACAGCAGTTTAAAGAAGGGTTGCAGCTGCGACAATGGCGACAACCAAACCTGCAATGGCAGCGCCACCTTCTTGAGCTGCACCGTCGTTCTTCTTCGATGTGGTTGAGACAGGTGCGGGCTTTTCGGTTTCCGTCAGTACCGGTGCTTCCGTTGTCTCGGAGGCTTCACTGGTAGGCGTGGAATCGGTGCCGGTCTCCTTGAAGACACCACCCCAGAGCGCGGGCTTCGAGGCCGATGGTGTCTCAGAGGACAAAACAGAAGACTCTTCCGTGCTGGTTACAAAGGATACTGGAGCTGATGACATGCGAACCGAAGAAGAAGAGGTGGTGGGAGGAGGAGTTGATGTGGTAGTGGGCGTCTCCATGGTGCTGGTGGTCTTGGGCGGCGGGGGCGCCTCCTTGGTTGAGGTAGTCTTGGGAGGGTCAGGCTTTCTGGTGGTCGAGGTCTTGGGCTCATCATCGCTAGAACCATCGATGCTGAACACCACAATGTTGGCAGTCTGCCCTTTGGGAACAGTGACAACGCAGAACTGAGCACCGCCGACACCCTTAGTGGAAACTGGGCTTTCCAAACCTCCAACACCGTGCTTGGAGGGATCGATGGAGCACGGCAAACCATTGCAACCTCCAGCGGGACACTCAATCTTGACGCCAAAGCTAGGCTTCGTCTTCTTCCAGTCGCAGTCCATGTAAATGGGATTCCAGGCAATCTTCAGATATGTCTCACCTGCGGAAACGGTGTTTGCTCCAGCAACATAGGGACTCCAGTTTCCGATGGGCTTGCCTGGGCTGCCCCAAATGCAACCCTCGGCAGACGAGACGCCAGGCGCGTTGATATAGTAACTGAGACAGTCAGCTTCATGAGTCACAAACACCATCATCTGTGGGTATGCTTACTGCGCAGCGGTTGAGTCCCAATAAGAGGGTCCAGGCACAGCGATCTTGGACTGACCCTGGATGTCGGTGGGAATAATCATGGCCTCATTACCAGGCAAGACAGTTTGGCAAAAGGACACAACCTTTCCAGCCTTGTTAACTACCTGAACAGCACCGGTTCCATCCACGCAGTATGGCTTGTCGTCGAAGGCCTTCTCAGGCGTTCCTTTGTTGCAATACAGACCGCCGTTCTTGATTATGCATCAGCTCTCCGAATCTCATAATGTTGAGATATGTATCAACTCACCATTGACTGGGGATAGACGTAGGTCGAGTCGGGTTCCCATTGTGCCATAACCTTTCCAGGAACACACGCATACGGACACCACTTTCCGTCTTCGCATGGCTCATCGGGGCTCATGGCGAAACCATTGTTCATGCCTCCCGGGACATATACAAGGTCGGGGTGGTCGGGCAATGAGCATTGGGTTTTTCTCTTTTGCAGCTGAGGCATCTCAAAGCTCTCAATGGTGTCCTCAACACGACTGTGTCTCCTCGTGGGACGTCCATGGAGATGGCGATGACCCCCATGACCGGCAGAGACAGGTTGAGCACTGAAAAATAATGAGGCCGCGCCAAGGGCGGTCTGGAATGTGGAGAGCTTCATGTTGGCGGTAGGGGTTGGTTGTGTCCTCAATATCCAATGGTCGTGGAGCTCAGCACGTCAGGATATGAACTCTGATACAAAGTCGGCTGTCGTTCAACTGATATCCAGCCCTGACACTTTCTCTATTCAAAATTCAAGCCGGTGTTCATAGGACATAAATCGTAATAGGTCGGGTCGGAACGATCGTGAGAAGATTTGACGGACATCAGAGGCCGAGGCGTGTCGAGCTTCGGAGGGGCCAAGGTCAACGACTGTGAGGCTCCAACCCAGGTCCGTGGAGGGAAGAAAGATGGAGAGAGCGACAGAAAGAGAGAAGAGAAGGCTTGTCCCGGGGGTTTGGTGCACAAGGGGGGGGGGGGGGGGGGGGAGGCCAGGCTTAAACCCCAGACGGGGGAATGGGATGGGATTGGGATGGGTTGACGAGGAGCCGAGCATGTCGTAGCCCATGTCGTGCCCCATGTCCTGGCGTTTTTCACTCAAGGTATCTCCCCGGGGCGGGCCAGCAACAGGAAGTTGTGTGGAAGGGGAAGACAAGCTACCTGCAGGTCGCGATAGACTCAGGGGGTGTGACCAATCAGCGAGTCTACCGCTTTGGGGTCCCTGGGCGCCTCATCTCGGCACTGGGTGGGCTGCTGGGCTTGAGGTGGCATCGGTGGGTGATGTCCCATTGTAACGGGTTCATGCCAGGAACACCTCTTTTGCGACCAATAAACGGGGGGTGTTGGACATTGAGCCGCTAACCCCAGAGGGGCCGATGAAATGAGGACTTTTACAGCGATTCCATTCACGGCCATTGGGGAATGAGATGTGACTGCCGACCAGTGAATGCCTGCTCTTTGGGACGGGCGTGGCATTCCTTTTCCAGGATATGTACACCTCGCCTGTTGTTGTCGTCCACCCTTTGGGGTTGGGGCCTTTTCCCCAAATCTCCACGGCGATCCCCACGGTAAGCGATGACGGGAGGTCAAAGAGCAAAAGGAGGCCCACTGGAACAGGGCCCGGGCCTGGAACTCCTACCTCAGAGAGTCAGAGGTAATTTGGCCGATTTGGGGACTGCAGGCAGCCAGGGAATGGCCGGTACTGACGACTGAATACCGGGCAACATGTCAAGTCTGAAGCTGATTTACACTACATCTGGCGACCCGGGGTCGTTGGCGACAGTACGCAGTCGGACGGCTCTCAGTACAAGTGTCCGGGTACACCGTTAAGAAGCACTCTTTGTAGGGATTGCTGGCGCCGTCGGCCGATCAGAGTATGATAATTTGCAGGAAACCCGGGAAGGAAGCGACAGGTAAGAGGTGTGCAACGGTAACGCAGTGTGTAGTGTAGCGCCAAGGGCGGGAGGTAGTGTGGAAGTGAAGATGATGATGTTTGAGGTAGTTGAGGGCATTTCTTTGGATGTGATGGGAAGGTGGGAACAGGAAATACGTTACCCCTGTCTTGCAGCGCCAGTCCGTGCATGATCTGAACTCCCCCATCCCTCACTCCAACTTTTGTCATCGACTTCCACCTGACTTGTCGGATAGCGAGGTCATTCATCGGAACTTAGCGCTTCTCGCCCGCCTGCCCACAGCAGCATTTTGATGCGCGGAACATTCCACTTTGTTTGCCTGCCGGAACCACCTGGATCTGACAGCCGCGGCTGCCAAAAGTACAGAAAGGCGTCTGCAGATCACCGCCTCAGAAGGAAGCTGTCAAGGTTCAGAAAAGGGTGAGATGTCAGGGGGACTTGGCGGTGTCCAACCCTAACCCCCATCTATCACAGACTTTTTGTCGCGGCAGCTGCCCCAGGCAACCATCAGAATCTGTACTTAGGATGTTCTTTAACACACCAACCAGACACCATTCACACGTGTCAATTCATCTTCGCCTGTTGCGAGCATCACTATCCAGAGATTCGAAGAGCAGACGAAATGTTGAAAGGTTCAATTGTCCATTAAAAATAACTATTATCGGGATATGACTAGGTAGGTACCGGGTATCCTCGCGTGCACTCTCATCCCCCATGTCATTAAATCCTCCATCACCCCACCAATTTTCTGCTTCCCAACTCCTCATTCAACTATATTCCTGCAATCATGAATCCGTTTCTTCACACCCACTTATTTAAACGCGGTGACCGCCGCCGAGGGAGTTGAGGACGGGCACGCCGCCCTTGACGCTATCGAGGAGCCCGCCGACAGAGTTGACGAGATCACCCCCGAGAGGAGCGCCGTTGATGGAGGGAAGGCCGGCAGGATCGCGCGCAATCTTCTTAGTGGCGTCATTGACGATCTTTTCGACCTGCTTGACGACATCGCCCCCGACAGGAGCGCCGTTGATGGTGGGGAGGTTGGCAAGACGGCGCGCAATCTTTCCAGCGGTGTTATCGACGATCTTGCCGACCTGGTTGACGACATCGCCCCCGAGAGGAGCGTCGTTGAGGGAGGGGAGACCGGCAAGACCGCGCGCGATGTTCTTGGCGCTATCGTTGACCTTTTCGGCGGCGGCGTCAACCAGGGAAGGGACGGAGGGGACAGAAGGGACAGAGGAACCCTCGGGCACGGTGGCCTTGGCGTCATCAATGATCTTGCCGGCGGCCTCAGCGGGGGCGGAGACGGCGGCAGGAACAGCGGAACCCTGGGGCACGGCGGCCTTGGCGTCATCAACGATCTTGCCGGCGGCTTCACCGACGGAGTCGGCGGTAGGGACGGAACCACCCTCGGGGATGACGGCCTTGGCGTCATCAATGATCTTGCCGGCGGCCTCAACGGGACCGGAGGCGGCGGCAGGGACGGAGGAACCCTGAGGCACAGCGGCCTTGGCGTCATCAACGATCTTGCCGGCGGCTTCAGCGGGAACGGAGGGGACAGAGGCACCCTCGGGCGTGACGGCCTTGGCGGCATCGTCGACCTTGCCGGCGACCTCAGCCGTGGTAGGGATGGTGGGGATGGAAGGGGCGGAAGGCGCGGAGGGCGCCTCGGGCGCGGCCTTCTCGCCATCGTTGACCTTGTCGGCGGCCTCGGCCGGAGCGGCGGCGGCATTAGCAGGGGTGGCGGCGCCAGCGGGGACACTAGCAGCGGGGACGCCAGGGGCAGCGTCGGCAAAGTCGGCAAAGGGAGCAGCGAAATCGTCCTCGGCAGCAGGGGCGGCAGCGTCAGCGGGGGCAGCAGCGGCGTGAGCGGAAGTGGGAACCTCAGAAGCCCCATCAACCGGAGGAACGATGTCCTTCACCTGCTGCACATAGTGGCCCGCGACGGGAACGTTGCCAGAGACGTCATCGAGAGCAGCCTTGGCCTGCTGGACGGGCGAGAAACTGTTGGAGCGGGGAATGGCGGCCGCAAAGACGGTGGAGGCCGAGGCGGCGAGGAGGTAGGCGAAGAAAGAGGTGGTGGTCTTCATTTTGGATGGTGGTGGTGTTTGGTTGGTTGAGTGTTTAAAATGGTTATGTTAATAAGTAAGTAAGTTAGTGGCTGTTGAGTTGGTAATGAGTGTGATGAATGAGAAGCTTGTGTTGATGACGACCTAAGCTTGAAAACGGGAGGGAAAGGACGGGCTTATGTAGTTGTTCTTCTCGGTGGACTTGAAGTCAAGATCATCATTCTCCCAGGGTGGTGTGGAAAAACAAAGTCCGGACGCGCTTATTCCAAACCAGACCCAGCGAGTGTCCGGACCTTTTTCCACACCACCTGTCTCCTTCTGTTCGTCCTCCAAGGGTAATGGAACAGGAGATGTGGGTTGGAGAGTGTCTCCATCCATCCATTATCATCCGGGGAGGTGATGATGAGATGCCGACTGATACTCTGACCGCAAGAGCAGAAGATGCTGTGGCTCAACATCAGTATCGTTGAACTATTGACCTGGCGGAGTGGCTGGAGTTGCGTGGGTTTGGCGATTGTAGTGTAAGGCTGTATGCTATGTCGTTCACTTCGTTGAGCCACCTCCTGAACCCATGTTGCCAAGGAGCAAGCGGTGGCCGTTTGTTTTAGACATTGATCCCTATCAATGCGATGAAACCTATCAATCTACAGGGACGTCAAGAGGTTTTGCGAATCGTTCAGTCCATCCAGCGAAGATCTATGTTTCACACGGACAAAGGTGGGCAAACTAACAAAAAATAAGCTCAGTGATATATGGATCCTGATCGACATGCCAAGGACGTGACACTCTGGTACCCGGGAGCTGGCTCCGGACGGGGGGTGTGCATAGCCAGTAACAGTTTTGGTGAGAATTACGGCCATTTCTGTTAGTGACTTACACATCCCATTCACGGAGCCACCCGTGTAGCAGTCCTATGCGGCTACGATCAGTTCTCCATAGAGACTGCGGGCCTCTTTGATTGGGTATCACACTACTTTCCTTTCCCATCAACTCCCCCATCCCCTTGAGATTAACGAGTGGAGATATTTGCGGAGGAAACACTCATATCGTTTATAAGTAAGTTGACATTGCAAGGCGTCTGAGTGACAACCCCCTACAGCTTCGTGGTCAATAACAAGCGAGCGAACCCCTTGAATCTAGCTTTGTGTCTTGAGTGCGTCGATAGTCCGGTGATGAGTTTGTGCAAATGTTGAACGATAGTGGTGGGAGGTATTCGGACATTAATTAATGTTGATCTGTCACAGGTGAAAACATGTTTCATCACTACGACTTCTGCATAGACAATCTGCACGTGGGTAAAGGTCCCCAAATTCAAGAAGAAGAGATGGATGCATCGCATTCAACTGTCTATGGTCATGTTCCACTCCATCATCTATTCAACTACCCACGATATGAGCCCACCTTGTTCTCATTTCCCATTACCTCCCCAGCTCAAAGCTCAAACTTCTCCCCAACCAACTCCTCACTCAACCCCCAAAGCCGTTCCGCATCCTCCTCATCAAGCGCCCGGGGCGCCACAAGCTCCGGGTCCTTGGTAAACTGACAATCACTCAAAAACACGCCGTCCTCCCCCTCCTTCTCCAGCTCCGGATCCAGCGCCGCCCTCAGCGTAGTCGCACAACCCTGCTGTACCGTCTTCAACTGCATCTCTCCCTTCATCACCCTCTGCGTAATCTCCTCCATCAACTCATCGTTCATGTACCGGAGCAAGGGGGTATAGATGCCGCCAGGGTGCAGGGCATACGACCTGATACCCGTCTTGGCGAGTAGCCGTTTGTTGAGCGCGACAGTGAAGAGCACGTTGGCCGTCTTAGCCTGCCCGTAGGCGTCCCAGGGTTTGTACTCCTCCGGACGCTTGGTGTAGCTGGGGTCGTCCCAGCGGATGCCGCCGAGGGTGTTTCCCAGGGAGGAGACGTTGATGATGCGGGTCTGGGGCTTGCCCGCACCGGCTGATGCTCTGAGCTTGGGTAAGATGTGCTTCGTCAGCACAAAGTGGCCGAGGTGGGCCGTGGCAAATTGCATCTCGAAACCGTCAACGGTGAGTTCGTAAGGGCAAGCCATGACGGCAGCGTTGTTGATGAGGACATCAATGTGGGTGATGGATGCGTCGTCGAGGATTTTGCGGGCTGCTTCACGTACGCTGTTCAGCGAGGTAAGGTCGGCAGCGATGAACTTGACGGCGATGGATGGGTTGACGGCGTGGATGGCGTCAATGGTGGGCTGGATCTTGCTGAGGGAGCGTCCGACGAGGATGAGCAGTGCTGGCTTGGCATGGGCAAGCGAGATGGCTGTCTCCGCGCCGAGGCCTCCCTCACTCGGGCCGGTGATAAGGACTAAATGTGAGGAACGTAGTGTTAGCGATGGAGCTCTAGGAAGAGCTAGCTGGGTTGAACCTACATGTACGTCCGGACACTTGGTCTCGGAGATGGCGTACCACCTCGAGGCCTTCCGTGTTAAAACCGAAGTTGATGCCCGACATTGTGCTGCACGGTTGATCTTGGTGATGGGTCGCTGGAAGGGAATTGGATTGTTGATGTCGAAGTTTGTCTGTCTATCGTAGTGAAGCCCGCTCCAACCATCCGGCAGAAGGAGCCATCTTATATCTCTGAACCATAGCCCGCAATTACAAATCGCCAAGGTTATTGTACAGGTCCACAACTTCAAATGTAGGCCAAAAGTGTGATAGTTGGTGCGGATGAGAGGCCGATGTGTGCGGACGAAAGGCCGATGTGTGCGGATCGGAGGCCGATCGATGCGGTGCCGCGGCCGCTCCCGGTCCGCTCGGGTATTGTAGTGTGCGGCACTCGATTATCCTGGGCTTAACTCCGCGAACATCCCGTCTCATACCCCTGGCCCCATCAGCATGAAGTGGGTCAGGTAGAAATGGCAGATTGAATTGGGTCTGTTTGAAGGTTGGTGTGCGGGTGGTGGTTTGGGTCATACATAATACGAGTCATCACAATGCGTTCAAGTTCCATTATCTTGTACACACTCAGGGGCGGACTGGGGGGTACGGTCTGAGGCTCTGAGCGTTGTGCATGAGTGGAACCATCCATATCTCCCGCGACCTGACGGGCCCGAGCTCAGCATGGTGGGGCACTTGGGGTCCGTGCTTGTGTGCGTTCCTGAACGACCTGGACCGTGGCATGGCGCAGCGTTGAGCTCACTTTCCATTCTTGACTTTTCTTTCGATCTTGACAGTCACGTTTGCCAAATTCCAGCCAAACATTTCCCTGAACCTTCAGGAACTCGCAACGGACATTGTACCAACGAAGTGTCAGATACTGCCTAGTAGTCAAGTGTCTCTGACTTGAACCTCCTTTCCGTCAGTTTTCCGTCCGTTATTTGCTGCGCTGGCAGGGGAACACACACCACGTCCCAAGACCTGTTGGGCAGGTGGCCAGTGCTACTTCAGGGCTTCCGACCTACTTGTACGTATGTACCTGCAGTGGTGGTGTTTCTGCTACTTATGTCTGATCTCGACAGCCCGTCCATTGCACTGTGCAGCTCCAAACTGAAGCAGCAGCATCGCTGAGATCGTTTCTTAAGCAACCCTTCCCCACATTTAACCTTCTTCATTTCATTACCTATCAAATCAACAGTGTTGATTTTCACGGTTCACGCGAAGGACATCTTTTACGTACCCATTCTCAGTTATTAGGACGCCGCCTGCGCCTATCATGGTCACCATGTCCGCTTCCAACGGCCAAGACGACGACAAGGATAAGAACCTCTACTTTGGCTTAACAATCGCACGCAGTGATGGCAAGGGATACGATAACCTCGACCACAATGCACTAGATCCCAAGGAGGACCAGGACGTTGCGCAGCTTGAACGTTGGGAAGTCATCATCGGTGGTCATTTGCAGCATCAACTCGGCCTCCCAATCGACAAGCAGTACAAGCTCGCCGTTCTACCCAAGGGGTACGAGCTGCGATGCGCCATCCGAAAGGACGGTGGTAGAGACTACTACCTATACGGTCACCCGGCTGGCCGCAAGGCTGTTTATCGGACTCCCGGTGACTTCGTCTTGCACGCCCTCTTCCTGCTCAGCAACCACGCTGGCTACAGTCAGTGTTCCTGCGATCTGTGCTGCAAGATGATCGAGTCTCAGAAGCTGAGGCAAACCGATCAACAACACGCACAGAAAATCCAACAGGTACTGGGGCAAAAGCAAAGGCAGCAGCAAATAGAGCAGCAGCAAAAACAGCAGGAGCAGCAGCAGAAAGAGCATGAGCAACAGCAACAGCAACAGCAGCAGCAGCAGCAGCAACAGCAACAGCAACAGCAACAGCAGCAACAACAACAACAACAAAATCAACAGATGCAACAGGCGCAACAGGCGCAACAAATCATGCAACAAACTCAACAGCAACAACACCAGCAACAGGGACAGCAGCAAGCTCAGGGCAACCCTCAGGCACAGGTATTTGCGGCCCCAGGGGTTACAAGTCTCACAAATGTCTTCCGCGCAGGCGAGTTGGTATGGTACAAGCATCAGGCTTGGAGGCTCGGCGTGATCCTATCGATTGCTCCCAAGAGGCAAACGCCAGGCCCTGCGCCAGACGCGGCCTTTAACTTCTTGGTGGCACCGTTGGGCCACCGGACGTTGGGACAACAAAGCTTCTATATCGACGCCAAGTCCATGCGCCCGTTCCTTACGTTTAGTGTCCCAGGTGTTGGCGAGAACTTTTCGAGTTTGGCGAACCGGACATACGACTCGATCGACTGGCCGACATTCTCGGTCCAATATTGTCAGAGTCTGGGCCTCACGGATCCCAGTCAGCTAGACATCGCCAGGCAGACCGTCGGACTCGAAGCGTCAAAGTTGGCGGCCAAGTACATCAATGATTGCTATTCCACATTCAACAAACTGAACAATTCGAACGTCAGTGGCGCCCAAGATACCCTCTTTCATGAAGGCGTCTATCTCGGGGCTGAGATGATCCGTGTTGGGGATCCTGTACGCGTCGTTGGAGGCCATGTTGGTAACGGCCAGAACAATGGTGGTACTGAGACGAACGCTGTCATGCTTGTATCGGAGATTGCTACGGATACCCACGGGATGAATATCCGGTTTAAGGGTAATCTTTTCCAGACCGTCCGGTCTACTCCGCCCATGCCACCCAACGTGGTCGCGCCGGAGTCCTTGGGTCCAGTCTTTATTGAAGAGGTCATGTCAAGAAACGAGATCGAAAAGTACAACAAGGCGCGCTGGGGGTGGGCGTTAGTTGAGCGGGACGCGGTGCGGACTGAGGTTGACACTCTAGGCCGGTTCTATGTGACGCATCGGTTGATGAACATTATTGACCCGGCGCGGTTCACAGCGTCGGTCCAGAAAGGGGTTGTGGAGGATGCGCACGCATACCTGAACAACCGAGCCCATAGCGGCAACGGTCGATTCAATGGAAAAGCGACGCGCGCTGACACGTTGGGGATGGCTGTGAATGCGATGTTCGCCGCACCGGAGGGCATGGACGAGGATTTCTAGGAAAGTTGACTTTTCAGCGACGTGGCTAGGATATCAGGCTATCCCACGATGTATTAAATAACGTTGCATGGGTTTGCATTTGAATGTGAAAGATGCTTGAACAGAGGACAACGAGCGGCGAGGCATATCAAGCATCAAGAATCATGCAAAAGAACTACGCGATCTAGTCAGTACGAAACGATTCTGAAATCGGTGGCAGAGGACGAAGGTCTGGAATGGTTTGCTGGGAGAGTACCTCCTCGTAACTCGATACAGATAATTGTTGTAATCAGGAAGGGATTTGGTTATGAAGAATGTGTGCAGGATGTTGCGCCCTGATTAGCATGGCTTGGTGTAATTACACTTTGCTCCTGTTGTTAGTATGCTGTTAGTAGGAACAAAAACATTCGAGCCCACTCGGCTTGTGCCCGCCACCCCGCTACAGCAAGAAATCACTGACAGCAACTAACAGAACTCTATTTCCCCGCCAAGACGTTACACGTTAGGGAACTGCAGGGAGGCAATCACTATTCTAGTGGTCTCGTGGACATGGCGGTTTCGAGTTCCCGTCTCGCTCCGACGTCACTCGCTCATACATACCAAGTGGAGGTTGACAAGCTGAACGTTGTATTGTTGCTCCTTTTCATTTTTTCGAGGTTTCGGTTTACCCATGATTAGCCTCTTGCCCTAGAGCTTTGGTTCTTGGCTTGGGTAAATCTTCTCATCTGCAAGAAGGATCGCGAGTCCAAAAAGCATTCCCCATATCACCACCACTTCAGTTCAACCATCCAAGCTGCGAAGCCGCTCCAATCACCACGTTGGCAGCCATATAATCAACAGTTGAGAAATACGTCAGCCAGTGCTATGACTCGCGCCACTTCCTGGCTATCGCTGCTATTGCCTTGGTCGATACCTCTGCTGAGGCCGGCAGTGGTAGAGGCATCAGAGCTCGAATGGGATATGGACCAGGTGCCAATCAAGGGCAAATTCGACGAGACTGCTTGTCCAGACTATGCATCCTATGCCACTTATCCCCAGTGAGTTCAGCATGCCCTGGGTAAGGCGCAGTCGCTAATTCATGTGGACAGCCGGCCCTATAGCGAAGGTCCTCTCTCCCTCCCCTTCCAGCGCCCTCATGTTAGGTGCCGGACCTTTCAGTCTGACGCCATCGAGAAGGTTATCAAGGATGTCACATCCCGCATGAAGAACCCTGACCTTGCACGTCTTTTCGAAAACACTTTTCCATCTACTACGGATACCACCGTCAAATTCCATACCAATGGCAAGGACGGTAAGGAAAAGAGGAAGACGACGACGGTGACTGACAGCCCTGTCGACGATGATCCATGGACTAGTACGTACGAGGACCCAGGCAAATGGGAAGGGCCGCAGTCGTTCATCATCACGGGCGACATTCTGGCCGAGTGGCTACGTGACAGCACCAACCAGCTGAAGCCGTATCAGAAGCTGGCTTCCAAGGATAAGGCCATCTTCGACCTCATCCTCGGCGCCATCAATACCCAAAGCGAGTACGTGATCGAGTCGCCCTATTGCAACGCCTTCCAGCCACCGCCCCATTCCGGGCTACCTGTCACCTTGAACGGCCAAGACGACAACGTCCACCCGGCCTTTGACCCTTCCTTTGTCTTTGAGTGCAAGTACGAGCTAGATTCGCTCGCGCACTTTCTCGCGCTGGCCAACGCCTTTTACGCCCACACCAAGAGCACCGCCTTCCTCAATGCGCGGTGGTACAAGGCGCTGGACTCGGTGTTTGACGTTCTCGAGGCGCAACGCAAGAGCACGTTTGACCCGGAGACGGGCTCGTACCGGCGCAACCAGTACACATTCCAGCGACGCACCGACACGGGCACCGAGACACTGAATCTTGGCGGAATCGGCAACCCGCTGAACAACGGAACGGGGCTGATCCGCTCGGCGTTCCGGCCCAGCGACGATGCCACCATCTTCGGCTTCTTCATCCCTGCCAATGCGCAGATGGCTACGGAGCTCAAGCGGACTGCGGCTTTGTTGAGGACGACAGGGAATAAGAAGGATGTGACACGGGCAGAGACAGCGGAAGCATGGAGCAAGACGATTACGGAGGGTATCTGGGAACACGGTGTGGTCCACCACCGCAAGTACGGCGACGTGTTTGCGTATGAGGTTGACGGCTACGGCAGCGCCTTGATGATGGACGATGCCAACTATCCTAGCTTACTGGCGCTGCCGCTGATGGGCTTTGTCTCGGTAGGCGATACGACATACCAGAACACGCGCAAGATGCTGCTGGAGAAGAACAGCAATCCGTACTACCTGGAGGGAAGAGAGTTTATGGGCATTGGAGGCCCACATATCGGCCTGCAGAATGCATGGCCTATGAGCCTTTTGGTGCAGGCGCAGACGTCAGATGATGACGATGAGATTATGAAGTGCTTGAACCTGGTTTTGAACACGAGCAAGCTTGGGTTAATTCATGAGAGCATTGATGTGAACTGGTCGCATTCTTATACGCGTAAGAACTCTTCAAGCCTAGGACAGGATGGTCGGGAGACATGATCAAAGCTGACATGATTTTTGCGACACTTAGGAAGCTGGTTCGCTTGGGCAAACGGAGTCTTTGCGGATACAATCTTGGCTATCGCGAAGCGCAAGCCGCATCTTATCTTTAAGGATGCGACACCTTATGAACCTTGACCACGAGAAGGATGGTGATACCCGATATTGCTGGATGTAATTTGTTTCGTAGTACTCATGAATTCTATCTGGATGAGAAGCCACTGCATTCAGCTCACTTCGATGCACTTTGTCCTACGCTATAGGACGACGTTCTTTTCAAGTTGATTAACTGAAGACCTGGTGATGTAACCATCATCAAATGTTCAAGGACAACAACATTCCTAAAAAAGAAAAAAAAAAAAAAAAAAAAAAAATTGAGGATGAGTGACAATGATAGACAAGAAAATTGCTAGTCAACTACGAAAAGAAAAATCACACGACGGAGCAAATGGGGAACAGTTGCACAAGCAGAAATGATGAAACGGCAAAGCATAAGAAGCAAAAAAAAGGTAAAAAAAAGTTGTTCCCCTCGACCGGAATCGAGCCGGTGACCTTTCGGTATACAATCTAGACAATTACAGCCGAACGTGATAGCCAACTACACCACAAGGGGTTTTTCAATGGTTGTTCTGTCCAGCCAGACTTTGAGCATATAATGTCCATTTTGACTGTATGAAGTTGACCCGCAGGTAGCCGAACAATTCCTTTTTTCCACTAGTCTTCCCCACGATGCCTCGACATCTTCTTCTACCATCTTCAACCAAGATGCATCGAAGTCGTCTTCTTCCTTTTAAAATGGACCTGTAATTCTCGCCTGTCATGAATTCGTGGCGATATTCCGGCCTTGGCCTTATCGTAGCGTCACATCGGCAATGACGGAGCTAGCTAGCAACGGAAGCCCACTCACTTATCAACCATCGTGTAGATAATAATGCGGTTTGGTACATTCAACCTTTGCAGATACCTACAGACTGATAACGCAGAAACACGAAGCAAACCGCCGTCGGGCTGTGTATAAAGGCTGAAAAATGCGGTGGGCAACATTGATCGCTGTTTGCCGGATGGCGGCGTTGGCCGGTATGGAAGGTGCGCCAAGGAGATACAGCCAGAACCCCGTTCGTTATCTCTTGGTGGTTGCAGCGGTGGGGAACAATCACTCAGTCAGTGATCGCCGTTGTCTCCTGGACCAAGTTCCCAACTTCCCGGACGTTGGCATGCCCGTGTTCCTGAGGATCGCCCGCCGCCTCCCCGCCTTTTTCGCATATGTGTGCATTGTGCCGTCATCGGACTCGGCCGACTCCACCATGAGACGCCGGCAACATCAGATAACTGATAGGAGGGGGGGCTTGCATCTCAAGTATAAAAGTAACAAATGACGGCCTGTCGCCGTTCTCTTGCAGTCTGAAGTTAGTTGATAGCATCAAGTGCATCTCAACTTCTTGGCACCATATACGACTGCAGGGAACAAGAGAATAACTCGACATACACACCATACCAAAACAATAATCTATCCAAAATGGCTTCCGACACTACCGTACCCGTCATCACCCCCCTTGCCCATCCCGAGGGCTCCAAGCTCGACTTTGGAGCTACGGTATCAGGAGTCGACATTGAGAACTTGACTGGTAAGGCTGCATCAACGTGAAACTCGTTACTCGTCGTCATGGCAGTTTGATATCTACCATTCACATGGGAGAATACCCGTAAAATCGGTAACCTCCTCGGTAAGGCCACCACTCAGCTTGAAGCCTGGCTTTGTTCCTTGTTTCAAACCCATCCATACTGACTTTTCATGAAAAAAACAGACCGCGATTTCGCCATCCTCCGCACCGCCGTCTTCACCCACCAAGTCCTCGTCATCAAGTCCCAATCCCACGTCAGCCCGCGCGCCCAGTACGAACTAACGCAACGCTTCGACCCTCTCGCCGCCCCCCTCTACGGCCACGGCAACACCGACTCGGGCTCGGTCGGCAGCAAATCCATCCTCCACCCCGACCTCAAGACCATCCCGCACCAGCCCCAAGTCCAAGTCATCGGCAACGGCTTCGTCCCCACCTACGAAGGGCTGTCCAACATCCAGCTCCGCCACCCTCACCACCGCACATTCCACTCCACCTCCATCCCCGCCTCCCACGACCTCACCCACACGCGTTTCTACCGGTGGCACATCGATGCCGCTCTCTACGGCGGCGTCGCCCGCGCCCCTCCCGTGGTAACCACGCTCTTAGCCGTCAAGGTCCCCAAAGGCCGCAGGCAGACGTGCGTCTACGACGACGGCACCGGCGATGAGCTGGATGTTCCCCTCGGCACCACCGCTTTCGTGTCCGGGTACAAGATGTACGACATCCTCTCGGAAGCGCAAAAAGCCTTTGCGCGCTCGACCCGCGTCGAGTATGCGCCGCATCCGTACGTGTGGATGTCGAGCGCCAAGTCACGCAGCACTGGCCTGGGCTTAGTGTCGGAGGGGAAGGAGATGCCGATGGAGGACCTGCCCGAGATTGAAGAGGACAAAATTCAGATCTTGCCCATGTGCTGGCGGAACCCCGTGACGGGGAAGCTGGCGCTGCAGGTACATCCTAGCGCGGTGAGGAGGCTACACCTTGGGGATGGGACGGTGGTGGAGGATTTGAAGGAAGTGAGGGAGATTGTTTATGGATTACAGAGGCCAGGGATTGCGCCGGGCTTGGTGTATGCGCATGACTGGGAGGAGGGCGATTTGGTCATCTTTCACAATAGGGGCACGTTGCATAGTGTTGTGGGAGCGTTTGAGGAGAGCGAGGTGAGGTTGTTTAGGCAGTGCAATATTGCTGGGAGTGAGTTCCCGATGGGGCCGGAGGAGTTGGAGGAGGAGGAGGAGAAGGAGAAGGAGGAGGAGAAAGAAGAGGAGCTGGTACATGCAGAACAGGAAGAAGGGGTCGTGGAGGTTACCAAGCAGGAAAGCCTTCCTGAACTGAGGATGGGGGCGGTAGAGGTTGGTGTTGCTGCTTGAAATGGGAGGAGTTGATGAATGATGACTTGATAAAGACCTTAACGATGTAGTCTGTTGTCTTTACTCTATGGGTTCCGATACGTCGCTCAGTAGCCTTTTGACTACAAATTTCCCTATACTCAAGTACTTAGTTCCGTTGTCCGCTCCTATGAATACAGAAATTCCTATCAACGAGCCAAACGGACTTACCCTGCAATATGCTGCAACCGGCGTTTTTGGGTTCAGATCTAAGCCAAGAAGAACACCTCCATTTCTGCATCGGGTATTCTCCAAGTTATTAAAGACCCATTTGCCCCTTATCCGGTTGCCCATTATTCTTTTGACAAGAATCCAAACCTCCCATTATCTCATGTCCACATAGAAAATAAATGGTAACTTCTCCCTCATCCGAGTCACCATCACACCGGTACCATCGTTATCTCCATCTACACCACAGCCTCCAACCTCAAGCCATCATAAACCGGGGGCATAGTTCTAGTCGGTAGATCATGGTCCCCTCTCGAATCAACATAATAAGAGCCGAAATTGGGCTTTGCCTCAACAAAGCTCAAACCAAAGCTAGGCTCCAACTTGACCTCAACTAACTCATTCCCCTCCGTCCCCGCCGCCGCCGCCGCCTGCGCAAACTCATAGTCATAACACATATCCCTCATTGGCGGCGGCTCCGAAATCGGCACCCACTCCTCAAACGTGCCCACCCCGCCCTCACGCTCCGGCTTCCACACATGAAAAATGACCCTTCTATACCCCGTCCTCAAGCCCGAGCCCGGGCTATCCTTTTGTTCCACGGTATGATCACCTGTAATCACACACTCCCTTAGTCTCATCCTGTCGGGGGGCATCGGTGTCGTCCCGGGCATCATCCTCCCCACCAACGAATTGGAATCTGGTGCTAGACGAGAATAAGTACGGGACATGGACTGCCCAAAACTCTTTGCCTGAGCCATGGCTAGCAAGAGTGTCTCCCGGTCAGCGCCGTGCTCGATTTCAATGAGTCGCCAGCCGATGCAAAAGGTTAGTGTTGAGTCCCAGAGTCCTTGGTGCAACGCTGATAGGGTGGTCATGTGCTCTAAAGCAGTCACGCGGGTCTCGAGGTGCCGGCAGCGCATGACAACGAAATAGAGCATAGGGAGGTAAGCCATTTCATAGACAAAACGGGGTTTCTGGGCGTTGGCGTTGGTCGGGGATGCGGGACCACTATCCTCTTCGGTGGCAGTAGTAGTTGCCCGAGGTGGTGACGGTCCTCGCGGTCGGCTCTTCTCGGCGACCAGATAGCGGCCGGCCATATCAACGATCTCGCGGAACAGGGGCACAAACCGGTCGTACACCATCTCGGTGCGGTCGAGCGCCGTGGCAATCCAGATCTTGGTGATATAGCTCTTCATGCGCATCTGGTAGAACAAGCCCGCCGCGTCCTCGGTGGGCGAGTGCACTGCGCTGAAAATGGTGAAGCGGACCAGCCAGTCATCAATCGATTTGGTCAGATTGGCCTGCTCGGTCAGGATGTGAGAGGGGACGGGCACGTGCCGCGAAGGCCCGATCCGGTAGAGGTCGGCGGAGCGGAGGAAGCGCATGGCTCGCGCGACAAGGAGGTCGAGACCAGAGCGTAGCTCGTCGAGCACCGTTAGGGCGCTGTCGGACGCCGAAATGGCGGCGGAGGAGGAGCCGTAGGTACCGTCTGACTCTGGCGCCTCGGACCCGTGCCGGAGAAGGTTGGGGAAGACGTCCACTGTGCTGCCATAGAAGAAGGGGAAGATGCTCAGACGGGCAAAGGGGTTTAGAAGCTGGTCCCGCGACAAGATGGAACTTGACGAGTTTACTTTGCTCTTGCCCCCGTTCAGCTGGTTAAGGATCTGGACGCCATGATGGCAGTGAGAGATGGCCGCCTCACGGTTGCCCTGAAGGATTTCTATACAGACGAACAAAATACAAACAAAGATGACCATGGCCTCATCGTCCGTCTTGGATATATCCTGGAGGGCGCGGTTATAGTGGCCGATGGCATATCGACCCTTTGGGAACTTGACGAGGGCTTGCCCCTTGACGCTGGGGTCGCCGATGAGCTCGCAGATGGAACTGATGGCAACGACGGCATGGCGGACGACGGGATTCTGGTAGCTAGCACGGCTGACCACGTGGGTCCAGAAGTCGTCGTCTAGGGAGCCGGAGAAGGTGGGCGCGAGCACGCACCGGTAGAACTCGAGGGCGCGGCCCTCCTGGGAGTTGTGACGATGCGTCATGGCCGGGATGATGGGCCGTTTGGCCAAGAGCTCCTGCCATGACTGCGAATGCAACGGAGCGGCTGGATAGCCATCACACCTGCGGCCTGTCTTGGTGCAGCGGAGGCAGCTCGGTTTGGTCTCGTCACATTTTACTTTGCGGATCCTGTCATGACGGAGCAAGTGCAAAGGGCAGCGTGCTCTTTGTTAGCCTATGGATCCTTCTCTGATTCTCTCATAGCGAGCAGCAGGTAAGTATATATATGAGAATGGACCGAGGTGAGACGCCGAGTATCTGTTGGGTGCCATCATGACGGTTGCGGTGCTCGGTAGGGCAAGGCTGGGATGTGGTGACTCAGTGGTAGTATGGTTTATGTGTTACATCATGCCAACAGCATATGGGGCAGGTCCGAGCGAAGCAGCCTCATCGTATGAAGTGGGTAGGGATGTGTAGATGATAAGCGCTTCAAGAGAACCGAAGGGACCGGAAGGGATGCAAGATAGAATAAACAAAGTTACGCACTTGCATGTATAGCAGCCCGTTCTGACCTTTTGCCTTCCTGCCCTGACCATGATTGCTGCTGAACGCCCCAAAAGTCCACAGGGCGAAAATCCCTGGAAGGTATACAGTGGTTGGATATGCGTCTACCGCACCCAGTTACCAGAATCCCAATCGAATTGACTGCCTAATAGCTCGCTCGCGTGCGGGAACAAAAAAAAAAAAAAAACAACAACAGCAGATTCGTGATAGGTCAAGTGGCGCGTTGTTATTAGAAACACGACGAAACGGATGTAGCAGAGAAGAGATGTGCGAAAGTCGTTACTAGGAAAAAAAAAAAAAAAAAAAAAAACAAAAAAAAAAAAAAAAAGAACGGCGAGAGGAGCGTCGGCACGACACCTGATCAGACGATGGCGGAGCCGGAAATCAGAGGATGCTATGTCGCCGGTTCAAGGAACAACCCACGGTAGAGATACGAATACACGTGTAGAAGCACAGCGAACCTTATCGACGCCGTACTTGCCTGCTAGGGCTAGGCCAGTATTCGTAGGCGACACCGACTCCCTGGCGTCGTTGACCGGATCAGCTTAGCACTGATGATCCATTTATTGCTTTCCAACTGGCTCAACGGCGTGGATTGAGTGACGGAAAGCACCAAAACAGTTCCGGTGGTGGTGATTGGAGGGAGAAGACGAGATGGGACAGGAAGGCCTTCAGCCCTATCGTACTCGCAGCGAACCGCCAATAGACGTCTAGCTGAGTGGGTCAACTGCGAATATCAATACCAGAAAGCGACAAGAGCCACGCACGGCATCGAGATTGACTCAACAGTGTATCTGCGGTGGTCCGATCACATGGCTGACTGCAAGAGGAAGCTGAAGAGAATGCTCACCGCTCAGACAAGACAAATTGCTCGGAAACAAAAGCATAGAATTGTAATCTCCAGCAGCCTACTATCGGAATCAGAGGCTTGTGGTTCGGGAGGGTTGAGGAAGACGCCTCCGGTCACCATGACGGGGGTTGTGTCCGAACGAGTATATTTAATCTCCGGTTTTAGGCGCCCCTTTCATGCCTCCCTCCCTCTCGACAATCGACAATGGGAGATGGTCGCTGACAGTAGTGTGACCACCACAGAAAGTAATTGCGACTGTTCAAATCCGTGAGAGTTTCGTTCAACATACACAGCCTACCATATATCCCATGTAAAAGCAAGACAATTCCTCCCAAGGTATCCCTCATCCCAAGCGCTTTCCCATATCCTATTACCCCACGTATGTACTCCAGTTACAAAGACGAAGAAAAACACCGTATTCCCCGGACTATCTCCCCTTTATATCTTATCACATCATCTGCAGCTCCCCCGCCGATATGTAGCGGAGTCTGCGCTCACGACTGATTACGCCCTGAATGCCCCTGCCCTTGTCCCTGTCCTTGCAACCCTTGTCCCTGACCCTGAGCTTGTCCTAAGTCTTATCCCGATCCAGCACTCGAACCCGACTGTGGCTGCTGTGGCTGATGACCCAAAGGCAAAAACGCGTTCGGCACTTTCGGTACCTGTGGCGACAACGGTCCCGTAGCCGCTGCCACCGCCACCAGCCTCTCCTCCTTCGACCGATTGCTTCCTCCGCCCGTCAACCGGCGCATGCGGGATCGGGTACTCTGCGCAAAGGGGCGGATCATGCTTTCGAGCTTGGATGAGGAGCCGTCTGTTGCTGATGTTGTTAAGGATGGTGATGTCACGAGGTGAAGCGGCACCGCCGGCCCAGGCCCGACGCTGATGCTTGGACTGGCGCTGTGACTACCGCTTCCTCCGCCACTGCTATAATAGGCACCGTGTACCGCCCCGCTGGTAGATGATGAGATGTGGTAGTTCGGGTGGTGGAAGTGCAGGACGCCGGTGCCGGTGCCGGTTGCCGTCGAAGGTCTCTGGTACTGGTCTTCGTCATTATCGGAGAAGACGCCGATGTCCTCTGGATATTCGGCCATACCCTCGTCGTCATCGGAGTTGAAGTCTCCGATGTTGGCGAGGTACGAGGGCGGAGCCGAGGGGGAGGTGATGGACCTAGCATGCAGTCCCGGTCGGGTGTTGGTCATCAAGAATGGTCGGAGTTGCGAGGTGGATGTGGATGTGGATGTGGAGGTGGAGGTGGTCGATGCCGTAGGCGAGGTGATGACTACACCACCCGGTCCTCCTCCGGTGTCTCCGTCTACAATGCTGCTGATGCTGCCAAACGTGGCAGGGTGCATCATTGAGGGGCTTATGGGCGAGGAAGTGGTAGACCCCGCGACTACAGCTGGTCCAGGCCCGCCTCCCGAGAATAAGCTTGGTCTATCCGCAAAACCGCTTTGGAAGGCCGCAGTGATGTTGTTATTGTTGTTATATGCCGACGCTTGGTGTAGTATGGGTAGGATTTGCTCGTCATACAGTTGCGCACCCAAATCGAAGCTATCCGGAGAGAACTCTGTGACGGTCCTGGATGATCGCCCTTCACTAGGCGGGCCAGTCGACGACAGGCCGTCGAAGAAGTCATCAAGACTATCCAGCTTGGAGATGAGATCACCCATGGGCGCATGCTCCAGCCCGCGTGCGTCGTCTGACATCATGGTATCAGCCCTATCAGAAACAGGGAGGTATCCATAGGCATATTCATCGTGGAACTCGAATTCAAATTCCATCTCGGCAGGCGTAGGGATGTCGCTCTCGGGCATGCCACCGTCCATAGTCTGGGAGTTCATTTGGCACATGTAGAACACAGCGTGGGTGTTTGCGCGCGTCGACTCGGTCTTGCGTGCCGGCATGGGGATAGCCCAACCAGACGCCTCCGGGATGCCGAACAGGCTCTGTGCTCGCTCGTATTCTTTTCGGACGGCTTTGGAGGTGAGACGTGTCATGCTCATTCGGAGATGGTGCTTGTCCATCGATGAGCCAGACATGCTCATGATGTTGTCGAGCACTTCGAGAGCCTCCATGCAGTACTCGGTTTGGAGCAGGCGCAGAAGCGGCGAGATCATGTCAGACCCGTGGCTAGCAATTTCTGGCTTCTTCATGTCCACCTCAGTTATGATGACCCGGAGGATCCGCATGGTGTAAATTTTGACCCAAGCGGTGGCATTGGTCAGTAACCCCATCAGCATTGTGAGCATCTGGAATTCCAGATCAGGCAAGTAATACTCCCGTAGAGCTGCGTACAGCTGGACCACAAAATCCTTCGTAGACGCATATCGGTGTCCGAGATATTCATCCAAAGCGACAGCAATGCTCCGCATACCCTGAACATCAGCGATGTGTAAGAGAGTCTTGACGGTTGGCACAACAGCTGGATCAGGGGACTCCTCCTCCATGGCGTACAAGAGGCGAGGAAAGTTAGCCAAAATAGTAAAGAAGAAGCGGCCACCGTCTCCTATCAAAGGATCACTGGGAAGCAGAATAAGCTTATCGAGTATTGTCAAGGTCAAATCCAGACAGCTAGAAGACCGTAGACCCTTGTACAGAAGAGGCTGTAAACCTTCAAACGCGCCGTCCCATTTAGAAGGCTGGCCATCGAGCAACACCCTCCGAACGGTCGGCGAATGGAAGTCCAGCTTATCCAGGAACTCATTGAGCATTTCGACCGCCTCCAGAAACTCGCACTCATTGATGGACTCCAAGCATGCACATGTGGTCCAGAACAGCTGCGGAAAAGTGAGTAGCTTGTCGGCATCCAACTTTGCCACGAGGGTCTTCAAAGTCGTCAGCACTTCCATTGAGAATTTCTGAAGTTCAGTATCCTCGTCAGAAATAGTACTGCAGAGCCTGGCGATCATATCCCCTAGCATGTAGTGATCAAGAGACGTCAAGATGCACCTGAAGATCTGAAACGATCGACAAGCAAGGTGTCTAACTGGACAAGATGTTGCCCAAGTCAGAGAGAGCCTGCCCCACTTCTCTTTAATGCCGGGAAATGTAATCTCGAAAGTCTTGACCATTTCGCCGGTCAGATATTCCATGCTCGGGGGCACCTTGTTGTCGTGAGCGCCAACATTGCCATTGCTGTCTTCGTAGCCCCACACTACAGACCGGTCATGGCGGCGAATAGCATCGATCAGACCTTCGATGCTTTCTCTTGTGGACTGGGGAACGTCGTCATCGAGTCTCGAAATAACCAGTTCGTGGATAAGATGCACCAGCATCTCACGGGCTTGCTCTTGGACAAGCGCAGTGTAGTGATCCCATAACACCGTGACCACCTGAAGTAACACAGGCACATTATCAGGAACAAGGCAAGCTGGAGCCACCATAAGATCAACTAGCAGTATCAAAGATAGTTGTCCTAGAGAGAAGCCAGCCTGTTTTGTCCCTATGGGAAGCACCTCTGAGAGATCTGCACAGTAAGGCAAGGTGTTGATATCAGGCGGCGGCGGCACGGCTTCCCGTTTGTCGTTAGTTACCATGGACTTTGGCGTAATTTGCATGAGCAGAAACTCTATCACCTCGTTTCCAGGGGCACTGCTTGTGCTAGCGAGGAAGACCACGATCTGCTTGGCATATTCAACAAAATTTTGCTCCCGTCGTTCCAGGCAAATGGACATGATGAAGTCCAGAATCAGCCTCACATTGCCCGGGTGAGGGCCTGTCGCCAGAGCCTGCCAGAGTGCCTGGACCTCGTTGTGCAAGGCTGCGCTCGACTTGATGGTGATTTCCAGGAGGTTGGCAAGAAGCACATATGATTGTGCGGTTGGACCACCATTGGGGTCGACGGTCAGCTCGATTGACTGAATCCAAGGAAGGATGATGGCAACCACGTTCCTTTGGGCCACTGACCCTACCTCCTTAAAGTAGTAAGTAAACTCGGAAAAGATGTAAAATGCCAACTCAGTGTGTTGTTTAGCCAGTCGCTTGGATATTTCGAACTGAGCAAGTTTGTAGACAGCCTTGGTTTTGTCAGATATGCTGATATCAAAGTCTTGTATCTTGGAGTTTCGCGCCGGTTGTTGCCGCTCTTCAACTGTGCGCAAGACTTGTGCCGACTTGGACCGTATATCACTTTGATCGTTACCCAAGGTGAATAAGCAGAGACCGAGGAGCTTCCAGAAT